CTTTTGGCACTGGCAAATACTAATGGATTTGATTTAGACGCTGAAATCAAAGCTCAGAGAGGAGGTGAGGCACGGGGTCCGAGATTTAGATGCGAGCATGCGGACCAATCGATTGAAGAAAATTTGAGAAAGTTCAGAGCCATGCGAGATGGCGAATACAAACCTAGAGAGGCATTCTTGCGCATGAAGCAGAACATTGAAGACGGAAACCCTCAAATGTGGGACTTGGCAGCATACCGAGTCTTGGATGCCAAACATCATCTAACAGGAGATAAATGGAAGATTTATCCAACGTACGACTTCACCCATTGTCTTTGCGATAGTTTTGAGAACATCACACACTCGCTTTGCACGACCGAGTTCATTCTATCAAGAGTATCGTACGAATGGTTGAATAGTACACTGAAAGTATACGAACCCATGCAGAGAGAATATGGTCGCCTAAGCATTACGGGCACTGTGCTTTCCAAGCGAAAGCTCAAGAAACTTGTGGATGATAACTATGTGAGAGGATGGGATGATCCAAGACTATATACATTGATTGGAATCAAAAGACGCGGTGTCCCTCCTGGAGCCATCCTTGAGTTCATTAACGAACTAGGAGTAACCACTGCTCCTACCAATATTCAACTCGCTCGTTTCGATCAGACTGTTCGTAAATACTTGGAACTCACAGTCCCCAGACTTATGTTGGTTTTGGATCCTGTACCTGTCATCATCGAGGATGCTGAAGAGCTGGAACTCGACATCCCATTTTCACCCAAAGTACCTGCAATGGGCAGCCACAAGGTCACGTTGACTAAAACTGTTTACATTGAGAGAAGTGATTTCAGAGAAGTTGACAGCAAAGATTACTTCCGTCTCGCCCCTGGAAAATCCGTCGGTCTATTACATATTCCATACCCAGTCAAGGCAGTCTCATTCTCTAAAGATGGAGACAAGGTCACAGAGATTCGAGCCGTCTACGATAAAGAGGGCAAGAAGCCAAAGACTTATATTCATTGGGTTGCAGAAGGTTCAAAGAATGTCGAAGTTAGAATCTTCAATAGTCTCTTCAAGAGCGAAAAGCCAGATGATGCTGAAGGTGGCTTCTTGAATGACATCAACCCTGATAGCGAAGAAGTTTGGCCTAATGCTGTTATTGAGTCTGGATTTGATGAGGTACGAAAACGAGCTCCATGGCCAGAAGCTGCTGGAGAATCGGAGCTCGGAAAGGGAGGTCCCGAATCTGTCAGGTTCCAGGCAATGCGTGTAGCATATATGGTGAGTCATTTCCTGGATCTTTATACTTTTAAACTGTTCTAATTATCTCTAGGCAATGGATTCGGATTCAACGGATGATAAGATTATATTGAATCGTATTGTCAGTTTGAAGGAGGATGCTGGAAAGTAGGGAATTAGGGGCCATCACGCGAGGATACAAAAGAGCTTATCAATTGAGAGGTGCATGGGATACCATAAGTGAAAGATAGTTGCAGAGAAAGTTACTTGTCATTAAGAATATACTAGCATTGAGAGACGGGCAACAATTGAAGGGATTATCGAGTGAAAAGAGAATCATGAAGAATCCAAGAGATTCACTTCAATATTCCTTCATCTCAGTGATCAGTTCTCTCTAGCCAAAAAGTTTTGTTGCACATTTGGAAAACAGAATGATCGAGAGACAATTGGTTGATTGATTTTCATCAATTCAGAGGACTTGCAACGTTTGCCACAGTACACTTCACAATTGCTACCAGAAGATGAGAGAATACTCCGATCACTTAATTTTTCTTTTCAAATATGGTATATAATAAGCATATACTGTACAATGTAAAAAGCTATGTGCGATGTGGCTTGGAAATAGCAAGAAATTCAAAAGTACTTGCCCAGAAAACATCCATAGATCCCGTCACTTCTTTCCCACCAACATGGTGCTACCCCACATCAAAGTATAAACATTTCATATATGTTCTATCGTTATAGATTCATATTATCCTTACACACCATCCTCTGTGGTTCGGGGTGCCTCTCTCGCAAAAGTTGCCTCCTTCATAAAAGGACTTCTCTTTCTAATCTCCTCCCCCTTGACCAATAACAACACCGGAGCTAGACTTAACACTAATGCTACGAATCCTAGTAAAGAGCTTCCCCATTGGAACCCTAAGTTTGTGTAAAGTGCTGGACTTGCTAGTGGTAAGAAAGCCCCGAACGTATTTCTCCCCAATGACGCTGCCGAGAGCGCGGATGCGTTGTATTTTTCGTAGGAATCGGTCAGATAATTTACTACAGCTAGGTAGATGGAATATATTCCAAAGCCGACACAACCAATACCGAGCGTGGGGACAATCCAGTGAAGAGAAGGATAGGAGGATCAACCGTACCAGAAGAGACCTGCTGTAAATAAAAGAGAACCGGGAATGGAGGAATAGAGACGGGCTTCTGGGATGGGTGTTCCTGTCTTGGAACGTTTTGCGGATTGCAGATATAGGTGGTCTTGAATCGGATTTACGAAAGTGGCAATAATGGCACCAACGCTAAGAGAGAGTTGAATGAGGGAGGTCTGAAAGGTGTTATAGTTGCAATTTGTGGAGAAGGTTTGAGTGACGGAGGATTGAAAGAGGAATAGTAGACCCCACGCGAATGATACCCAAAGAGTTTGCGAAAATACAACCCATTCAGTACAAAGCATCTTGATGGGACGCTTGAAGGAGACCTTAAGCCGAGTAGCTACAGATGGCATATCAATCTCAGCTTCCGCATAACGTGGCTCTTCGTCTGGATTGTTTTTGCGCCATTTCTTAGCTTCTCTGGCTAGAATTATATCCCCTCGAGTTTCCACCAAGAGGAACCAGAAAACAGGAAGAAGTCCGCCGGTAATAATGAGCAGAACCCAGTATATCCATCGAAAAGAGAGATATGTGGAAGTGATAGCACCGCCAACAAAGGGACCGAGCGCAATTCCGATGACACTCGTCGTTCCAAATAAGGACAGTGGCAAGCTTCGTTGTTGGGGACCTTTCCAGACGTCTGAAATAGTACCACCGACAATATTGATAGCCACTGAAGAAGCTCCTCCTCCAAAAAATCGACACACTACCATAGTTTCGAAATTTTGTGCTACTCCACATGGTATCAAGAAGATTAGGAACACGATATATGCACCAAAGTATCCAGGCATACGACCTGAAGTTTCCGTCAACGGTACAAATAATAAGGGAACTATTGCAGCCCCAATATTCCAGGAAGTTGTAGCGAAGAATAAGTAGGGAAAGCCGGAGTTGCTGACGTTGAATAGAGCACTCATCTCATCGTTTCCCGCACCGTATGCACCCGCTGGGAGGCCGAAAAGAATGGACCTGCACAGAGCCCGTTAGAGGAGGCATCAATTATCAATGGTTACTCACACAATAAGGACAGCTACAGTTAGCCTCCATTTGAGTAATTTAGACCAATTGAATCTGTCCTATTTAGTATCTTTCTTTGCGGTGCATTTGCAGGGTGGCCCATTTACGGATTTCTTGGATCATTCTCGCCGTCCCAGTCATAAAGCAAAGTCCCATCTGTATTTCGTTCCTCCTGACGACTTTTTTCTATAGTTAATCTAGTGCTGTCATCTATATCTTGTTGTCAACATAAGAAGTAGCAAGGAACTCTGAGAGACCCACTGCTTCTCCCATCCTCATAAGGTGTACTTGCGTGGCCGTAGGTACCAGTTTGAGTATCAGCCATTGCGTTCGTAGGAGTTAGAATTTTAGCGGATTTTCATTCAGTTTCTTCTTGGTAGTTGTAGGAAGTGCTTGATGTTCTCAAAACATCAATCAATATGTCATTCAATACATAAGTCATTGCGAACCGATGGGTATGGGAAATTTCTTATATTTATCAAATGGAGATCTGAAGCTTCGAATGCCAGCATTGTGGCTATCTTTGCCAATGTCTTAATTACACTTTCTTACGTGCTACACGTAGGATTGTGGCCAATCTGGTTCTCCATGGTGATCAATGGCAGTTAAAGTTTTATACGATGACAGCTACCCCGCTTTGCGCAGCTCTTCTACTAAGCTGTGATGTCATTTTAGAGTTTGACGAAATCACGAGTCGGGTTAAGATCGGAATCGCCCTTTCCTTTTCCAGCAGAGTATCTTGATCGAACACGGATGTAGTTACAAATATTCCAGATTGACATCAAAGTTTGTTCCCGCACTGGGATAATCCTAGATTCGTCATTTGATCGTATAACGGGAGAGCTGAGCTCATCCGAATTTCCCCTGAATCTGTTCCCATTCACTTTTAGTAAGCGAAAATGTTGAAGCAACCCAGAGATATCGGTGAACACTCGAGTACGTTATCTCAATAAAAGTATCTTAAAACTGCTGGAGCTCCCTTTCAATCAAGCTAGTTCTATTTTCTTGGTTCATATGACTACTACTACTATATGACAATGAGTGCGGTCCCTTCAAGTAAAGTCAACGGTGTACAAGAAGCTGGAAGGGAAAGGGCCACTGATCCGGCAGAAGTGGTATAATCGCTCGAATTTACCGTCATTTGCTGTCTGACACCAATGAGAACGGAGTTTCGAATTAGAAGAACAACTATATAATGACATTTTCTGTTTTTCCGAATGCCTGGCCCAGAATATCTATGGTCAGATAAAGTTCCGAATTTAAAAGAGCCAAATACAGATTTGAGTACAAAAAAAAAAGGAAGCAGATTCTGAAACGGGTATATTGTCAAGATGAATCATTGAAGGGGAGCATGCATGGCAATATCCATTTGTCTGATAACTAGGCGATGGGCTACAGCAATGAAAAGAAGAGATCACTCGAGTTTGAAAGATGCTGAAGAATATGAATCAAAACGATGCCAAATTAAACTGGATTGTATACGAACTAAATTGAGGCTTGAATAATGTTGATATTTGAATTATCAAGTAATCACGTGAGCACACAGAATCGTTTCTTACGGATTTGCTACTTCTAGAAGCAGGACATAAGCTGATCTATGAATAGCGGGATGTATTTCAGCTTTTCTAACTCCGAAACATAATTTTGTCTTGTATTATAATAGGCTGCAGAAAATGTAACACCAAACACTTACCTGTAAGTTATTATTGGCTCCCACCAAACGCCACGCTGAAAATCGATGCCAAACATGACATACCGCTCTCGGAGACGAAGTTACTAAGTGCTACCTCAATTTCGACTGCCAATTAAATAAATACCTAGAGCATCGCGAACTCGAAGTTAGAATTATCACAAACTACTCATCATGACGCTGTATACACCTCTGGACTCAGATCTGTGCCAGATTCGGCGTCTGATCCTTCAACCAGCTGCCAACTTCGATGATCCTCTCTACAGTCATCTCGATATCGTTTCTCTGGAGTCGAAACCAGATTTTGAAGCTCTTTCATATGTTTGGGGCTCAACCACACCAGCCAAAACCATCAACCTCGGTGACCGCCTGGTTGCCATTGGCCCAAATCTCGACAATGCTTTGCGAAACCTCCGTCTTCTTGCCGCACCTCGTATTCTCTGGGTTGATGCTTTATGTATAAATCAGGATGATCTTGATGAACGTGCATCACAGGTTGCACTTATGAGACGAGTCTATTCCGACGCAACCACTGTGTTGATATGGCTCGGACCGGAGGCAGAGGGCAGCGAACAAGCAATGCGGAGTGTTGAAAGATTTGACAAAGCATATTGGCAAACTTATGATTTTCAAGCCCAATTTATGGAGATCTTGTTTCGACCCTGGTTTACACGGATTTGGACGGTGCAGGAGTTCGTCATGGCAAAGCATAGCGTCGTGGATGGAAGAATGAAAAATCCTCTATTTGGATGCGGAAATGTTTGGGTTGAGTGAGTCAATAGCAATTCATTATCCCCAAAACATCAAATGAGAGTCTGAATGTTTATGAAGATTTGTAATATGGAGCACTTGTTTGACAAATTTGCCACAGACTTCTAGATCTCTGAGAAAGTCATGAGTACTAGCTGAGCGACTGCTGATATATTTATTCTAGATGGTTGCCATTCATAACAGCATGGGCACATTTCTCAGACGATAGGAACATCATTGAAGATAAATACAAGAGAGCGTATCGCGACGCGGTGGTAGAGACTTTTCGACTTGAATGGATTCGGACTGCTAATACAAGACCAGTGGGCACAGAACAGACTTCTCTAGAAGGTGTAATCACAGGGCTGAGGAGTGCTTTTGGCGAAAACTTTCTGCAGGATTTACCGTACTGTACCGTACTAGAGATAGCCGAAGATATCAATCTCGATCCAGTAGTATGGAGAGCCAGATACACGGTCATGAGACATTTTCAATATGATTCTGTCGAAGCGAAAGCATTTTGGAGAAGAATGGAGCATATGAAACGCGTTCCAATTACCTATCACGGATTTCTCATGCACTCTCGTGGCTCTATCCACATACGAAAAGAATCTCTCAGCCTTGAAACTGTCTTGAAAGGTACAATGAACTTGCGCTCTACCGATCCGCGCGACAAGATATATGGTATCCTAGGCTTGCTCAGCGAGGAGGCCAGAGCCGCAATTCCCATTGACTACCACAAGCAGCCAGAATGGACATTTGTACCGACGATGACTTACATCATCCAGCACGAGCCAGAGGGACTAGCATTGCTTGGTCTTCTTTGGCGAACACGCCATTTCAAAACCCCCCTTCCCTCATGGGTCCCAGACTTCACCATCTCGGCTGATTTTAACGACGAACACAATCCAGTTTTTCTGCGTGGGAGTTGTGCAAACCACGATTAGGAATGGCCCGAAGATGTCAGAGCTACTGTTTCCTCGGACAGAACTACGCTTTGCGCCCACATGGCCTATTTTGGTCGCGTCACTCATATTGTTTCTTTCATTGATGGAGACCGTGATTACTATATCTCACGATTCAAGGAGATTGAGACCCTTCTAACTGTCCAAGCACCTAGAAGTGAGCCTCTTTGGCGCACACTTATTGGTATTCGCAATACCGATCATAAATTAATAGTAACGTACCCCAGAACCTTTGAAGTATTGATGGGGCGTACTCCGGAGCAGGATGGTGAGGCACAGAAGATGTTTCAAGATGCAATTTTGCCTATTGTTCGGAGGCGCAAGTTCTTTGTCACAGATAAAGGTTTTGCAGGTGTAGCTACACCGATGATTCGGGATGGCGATACAATTGCCATTATAGCGGGAATGGGTAGGGCGACAGTACTCAGAGACACTGATTTTAAGGAATTAGAAACTGAGAGGAGGTTAGACGAAGGGAAGGAATCTAAGCGGATCACGGGTTTTGCATATGTGGGATGCCATGACAGAGATGGATTTGAGTCTCTAGCTAAGGAGAGAATGGGAGATCTGGGAAGACATAGTTGCATTGCGAGTGATCTAGAGCAGTGTCATATTATCTAAAGTCGAGTCCGAGTCGAGCTCCTGATTAAAGAATGGGTATTGAAGCAACAATGCTTAGAACAGATAAGAGATATTCAAGTATCAGTATCCGGTTCAAATATAGACAATTATGTGATATCATGCCGAAAGACTTCAAGAGATCTCGTCTTTTGTTTACTTCCGGGTGATATGTTGAATGATCGATCCTCCCACACGGCTGGCTCGGCCAGGTCTTTGCGCTGGCCACGATATTCAGTACATCAGCGAGCCTTTTGATGAAGAAGTCTCGCGATGAGATATTGTTTGCATGAGAAGTAGTATTCGCCGGGTTGAATAGTACCTTGAATGTGATTTCAGAGCTAAAGTCACATATATACACATATCCTAATTGTGTAATGTTCTTAATGGGGGAACGCGATCGGACGATGAACATATTAAAAAACATAGAGATAAATTATGTTTTGAGATCAAAATATGAATATACATATACATAATCGTACTCATTAACCTCAAGATCACTTTAATTTAGCCCTTGACGTTTTATGGTTGGGATTCAACAAGCGCAAGCAATGTGTGCAAGAAGAGCTGCGTGACATGATTTTTTTCAACCTAACCTTACCCCACTAAAAAATTGTTCGCTTCATTCACTTTATACTCGATTTAATAACTCGTTTCCAAAAAAAGAAGCGAATTTCTATACCTCATTAATTTTATCCAAATAAAAAAATTCAATTTCAATTACTTCTAATTAAATCAATATATCTTCAGATTCAATAAACTCTTTAGAATAATTAATATTTCAATTGAAAAAAATTAATATACTAATTTTTAATTAATTCAAAATAATAATTGTTAAATTGAAAATAGATAAATCAAAAACTCGATCTTGAAATTAAAAATTAATGTATTTCCAAATTATTTTCAATTATTTTCGAATTTTCGCCCCAAAATTTTCAATTTAATTAATAATGATTGGAAATAATCAAAAATTATATAAATCATACAATTCATTATTCTTTATTATTTAATTAAATTTTCAATTGAATTAGATTATAATTAATAAAGATATTATAGATTGAAATTGGAAAATCTAATATTTAAATGTTTTTGATAAAGTACTGAAATTTAAGGTTTTGGAAACACGTTATTAAATTGAGTATAGAGTATTATGCGTCCTTGGAAGCTGGTGTATAGTATAAAGAATAACAGTGAATCAAAACACCAGCCACCATTTGTTAGTACTGGATTTCTGAAGTTGACTAATTTTTTAGTATCCTAAATACCTAGCTGGGTAATTCATATCAATCACTTTTTCAACAACTTCTTTGCGTCTCTGTCAATTTTGGCCAAACCGCCATTTCATTTCCCACTCGAAACCTCCATCTCAGTCTAAACTCAAGCAAAAGGTTAGCTCATACACGTTAGTGGAGAAACAAACAAGTCTCTAACTTCACTACATAGAATTTTGGAAAGTTTGAAGCTCACGCACGCTCGCTTTCATCATGATTTTACCAACAGAACGGGATAGACAGCTGTGGCAAAAAGCGATTCAGACTCCGGAGCAAATCACGGAAGAGGAAAGACGCAATATCCTTGGACTTGTTGATCCCACAACTCAGATTTCGAACTGTCTTGAGATTACTGGAATGTCTCCCGATGAATTTGAGAAGAAGGTCCTTCAGAATCCAGAGTCTTTGACGATGGATGAATGTCGATTGATTCAATATGGATATCATATTTGGGATAATTCGGAGGCTCTGGCCGCAAGCAAAATGACCTGGCCACTTGAAGATCAATTGGCTAATATCGATGCTGAAGTTGCAGTTTTGACGCCACATGAAGACGCTATTCTGACAGCTGCGTGTCTTCGGGCTAGCTCTTTGGGGAAGCTGCGGAACGACGCTATGAAAGCTTCAATACAAAAAGCCGCAGACGATGGTGGGAAGCCATGCGCATGGGTAGAGAGATTGATTGACCGATCAGTGCCTCTTACTGCTATCGATTTACAGCCTTCTTGGGGATTTGTGGTCTTTAGAGATGCAAGAACTAATTGTAGTAAGGAAGCTTGGGAAAATTTTCTCAAAAGCTTTGAAAATGCATTGAGTGCCGGTATTTCATTGCTAGTAGGTGGCGAGCAGATAAGACAGACGAGTAAATTGATTTGGCAAGATCAATTCGTTGTTGAAAATGATAGTGAAAGTATTTACAGGTATGAATTCAGGAACCAAAACTTGACCCCTTTTGTTAACAAATTATAGAGCTTTTCAAGACGTGGTTAAAGCGAGGACCGAATCCGATCAGCAAATTCTACAAAACACATTCCTTCTCGTCACGCCAGAGGTAATCGCTTCATTCAACGGTAGCTCAAATACTCCATGGATATGGGCATACGACACGACTTTTGATCCTACAGTTTCATTTGAAACAGATACAAGCACAGTATTTAATGGCAGATTAAAAGTTGCAGCTACTTCAGCATTCACCTGGTTTTATGCTGCGCGCAAGGAAGAAATTTATTGCATGAAGCGATTTTGGGAATATGCACAGAAAAAACCCGACCAGATCTGGGACGTTGCGACTGAGATGGGAAGATACCATGGCCCTTTGGTTCTATTGAAGAAAGGCACTCACTGGCCATTCAACACCTATGAGTTTCGCAGTTGATAGTTGATGGGAGGGGTCATATGGTGTAAAGCGGTTCTAATAAATGTTACTTTCTTCAAATCTCCGGGAACTTATCATAATACCGCCAATTCAATTTCTCTGAAAGAAATATAAAATATTTCAACCAAATGCTTGTCGTGTTGCAAGTGACTTTACTTGGCCCAAAGCAACAATACACTCCACAATTTAAAGTTCGGACTTGGATATGCTGTTAGGCATCATATTAGACGTTAGAATCCAGGACATCTATCTACTTGAACTAATTGCAAATGATGAAGTTGAAAATCGAGAGAAACCAAAACTTTGAAGATTCACAGGGAAGTAACCGGTCCTGGATTATTAACACTAGAAATGTATATATTGTTGAGTTCTTCGATCTGCTAGATATTCTGAAAGTGAAATCAGTCATTTAATGAATCTAATGATATACAATATAATGGCACATATATATATACGACTAAATAGTTTAAATTTGCAGCACGCTTTGACCTCGCTTCATAGCTAAACAAAAACCACTTAAACGTGATAATAGGTGTTCACGGGTTTCAATTATAAAGAACTGATCACTAAGATTATTGGGAGTAGTTTTGGAGTAATTTCATCACAGAATATCCTCACATGGATCACGCGAAATTCGAACAACTGTTACATAGTCGAAACCCATTGGACTTCTAAGTTAGGACTGAAATATCGCGAGGGAGATAAGGTTTATTAGAGCTGTTAGCCACAAAGTAAGTATTGTTTGTAGATATGCATGTGATGAGGAGCTCTGAGTGGAAGAGGTACTTTGGATTTAATGCTTTATTACATTGCGTCAGCTTCCGGTGATAAAGTTAATATCGACACGCAGATTTCTGAAGGGGTTCCCAATATGAATCACTATGAATCTGGAAAAATGACACGAACTTGCCAGCGATTTTATTCTCATTCCAAATCACAAGCTTTTGCTCTACTGTTATCTAGCTCTACATTGAAGTCGTCGCATCGCTAGAACTTAAAGTGACTGTAACATTTTGAATTTGGGAGCTCGTTGGTGCAGAACTCTCCACGGTGGTCTGAACTGCACTTTGAGCTGCAGACCAAGAAGCTAACCAAGAAACAGAGGCTGCAGCAGAGGCCTCAGCGTATGCCGCTGCATCCATAGTGTCAGATTCTATTGGTGTCGTATCCCAGGCCCATATAGGAGATATACAATATGTAATGTTGGCCATAATACCATAGCTGCAGTTTTGACTTGGTAATGAAGGGTTGATTTGCATCAGTAGTCCCGCGGTGAGACCGAAGAAGATACTGAGAATCGGGCAATCGTCACCAGGGGCTGCTGTGTACCATACGCCGCAATTGAGGGTAGTTCCATTGGCGATAGTAGAATTCACAGGGGGATCTTGACGGGAAGTAGAGTACGGATCGTTGTTAAATGGATTGGTGTTGTGCCCGCTGGTTACTGTTGATGGATTATAAGTTCCACCTGGTGGCGAAAGACAGAGAATGGTACCGTATACTGTGGAGCTCTGCTGGAGTCCAGTACAATCAAAAGTTATCCAGGGATTGAAGCCGCGGAGACCAAATGGTCCAAGATTATAGGTAGATTCCAGAGATCCGCATGTATCGTTGGGCTGGAGGGCGTATGTGCGTTGACATTGTATGGGAAGACATAAATTCGTTGCAGGGATGATATTGGCGCAATTTGTGATGGCTGCATTTCCAATGAAAAGAGACGCAGAGGATACATTATGAGCTAGTGAGATTGTGTCGCATGTGTCTCCAGCGCTTGTTGTATAGTAATTTCCCGATACGCAAGGAGAAGCCTGAGATGGTGTTTCCTCGATCAGGGGAGGCAAGATATCTGTTGAAGATCCTAAGCTGCAAGCTTCGGCAACATAAGCTAGGATTGATGAATATGTTCCGGCGTAAGCTGAATATTGAGATGACTGCATTATTTTGAGGCGCTGTGTGTAGCATGTTGAGCACATTTCATCCCGAGGCATTTCAGAAACATCGGAAACCAGCGTGAAGTCTAGAATCAAGTCTGTGGCAATTTGTTATTGTCGATAAAAAGTGGTAAATGGGGGTCAGAGTGACTCTTACCATTGCAATAATGTCCACTCGCGGGATCTTTCAAGCAAGTCTCGTTGTAACCTTGCCAAATAAATCCACCTAGCATCGCTGGAGGGGCACCTGTAATATTGTAGCCCGCACATGAAGAACTAACTGTGTTGAAGTAGAAAGCAAGAGAGGAACCACATCCAGGATCACAAACAGAGTCAGTGAGCGTATCATTCTCTAAAGAGCCGGCCCATTGCGGTGTTGTGTAAGTAGCTAAGAGACTGTTACAGTGGATGCTAGCTGTCAAAGCTGTAACGCAAATATTAGGAAGTTCCAAAGCAGAAACAAAGTCTTCTTTGTAGAGTTGAAACCCGGTGAAGGTTCGAATCCCGATAGTTTGATCTGCCCCCTCAAGCCAAGCTAGTAGTGAAGCTACGGTGCCACCTTGATTGGGCAAGGAGAACGTGGCCACTCCATTGACTGGACTGACCATTTCAGTTGAGCCCTTTGTGACTAGATTGTAAACCCAGATCTCTGTACTCTGCTCTACACTAAAGATTCGGTCTTGGCAACTTTCGGTAGCAAGACAGGTTTGTTCATATTGCTGAAACCAACTGTACAAGCCCGCACCCAAGACATAAATACTGACAGAGTCAATTATTCTAATAGCCCATGACACTGCACAGCTCAGAGAATCTGGCTTGCAGTCACTAAACGTTGGGTCATTGGCGAAGAGACCCAGACCTGAAGTAAAAGGATTTGGTGCAGCGGGGGCGACTTGAAAATATGGTGATTCTGTTTGAATTACACCCATCAATATGTCCTTTGCCCCGGAAACCTGATATTGATATAAAATGTTATGTTCAGCTGCAGTGCCGTATAGCCAGGTTGGTCCTTGACTTTCGATTAAAAGTCCACGACCTGAATAGACATCGATCAGATCCTGGGTAACGACATCCATATCGTGATCTGCAACCCACATCCACGAGTTCTCGATATACCCAGATGACTTTGGTGTCATATGAAACAGAAGTGATGCCGCCACGCATTGAGAATTGATCTCTCCTGATAGCTTTGGACAATCTGCTAGTTGGAGATCACTGCCAATTGCACCGCCAACGCGAATGTGAGTATCTGGAGAAGTTAGTATAAAAATGATAACATAGTAGACACACGTACCCCACATGCCCACAGATCCCTGGATAATCTCATGAAAATTCCATTCAACCAATATCGCACCGGCAGTTGGACCGGAAACGGTGAACATCATGTCTTGAATTTCTATGACACCTATATCTCCGGAATTTCCTACTTGTACAGCAACTCTTGGATTATTGATGTCTTGAAACTTGTCTCCTGTGGCCATTATTTGACTCCAAGCCTGCCCAACAATTCTCGACCCGACTGGTATATGCACTGTGTCGAAGATCTTGTACACTCCGAAAGGTATGAAAACTATCGAGGACATGTTGGCCGCTAAGGCAAAAATAGAGTTTAAGGCAGCCTAGGAAGAAGAACGTCAGTCATATTCATGGGAATATTGGGGCAAATAAACCTCGTATTAACCACAAATATGTGACTAGAGGAGCGTAAAAGTCGCCCGCCCGAAAGAATTGAAAAATCGAACACGTACTGTATCGTCTGTTTGTCCATCTCCTACTGCCCCATAAGTTGTCACATCGATAATTTGACTGAAACCTATATTAGTATAGACTGGTCTGCGCCTTGTGAAGAACTTTGGCGATGGGGTGGTTTGATTTCCACTTTGGTCAACCAATGATGCCGACCGAGACATCTGTGATATCTTCTGAGCACTAGCAAAATTCTCAACACCAGAAGCATTGGTCATCATACCAAATCCCCAAGAATCAATGGTAGTGACGTCGGAGCTGCCAGCTAGTAATGTGTGGGCATTTTGATTGTTTGTGACGACCTTTGAGACATTGTTAAGATAGGCATTCTCTATCAACAATGAGGTTGAATTCGTGGAAAAGAGAGAGGTCTCGATTCCAATTGGTGTGTTCTCAATGACAAGATCTAGTAAGGTCAAAGATCCAACATTTTTGGATGTTCCTAGAGAGCCTCCAGCCTATTTGATCACTCAATAAAATATTCAGAATGGTAACGGATAAGTAAACATACCTCTCCAACGATATTAATTCCCGTTCCACAGTTTTTGATATCTTATAAATCCTGAGATTAGCATAAATTCTCAGTCAAGAGATCAGGAGCTGTCATAGTTGATAATGATGACTATTTTAGTTTGGTACTCTGTGGGGTAACAGATAAGCGAGCCAAATCAGGGGATCAAAACTTACTTATTCCTTGCATGGTCCAGGCCCAGTCCCATGAGATCTGTAAAGCAGTCTTGCAGCCATCAAAAGCCAGATTTCGCGATGTAAATTGTTGGTTACCAAAGTATGCACTGAATTGGTCAGATAATTGTAAATACTGTGCAGTTGATCACTTACCCGAACATGCCACCGACAAATGTTAAATCAGATAGCCAGCCTCCAGAACCATTTTCCATATATATCTGTGGGATCTTGTTAATCTTATTGGCTAAACAGGAATGAATTATCTTACTCCTTGCTGAGTCGAACCCTCCTCCGATGACATGACAAAATGAATGTTTTCCAGTGATGTTCCCTGGGCAACCTGCCAATGTATAGCGCAGACCTGAGCATTCAGTTGAGTACGAGTTATATCCATTATGAAGTTCTTGATACTTCTGAAGAAGTTATTTGTATTTAGATACCTTGGAGCTAGGTCAGTAGAGTTTTCAGAGACGTTAGAAACGCTAACTTACCAGCCTTCCGTAGTTCCAATGTAGACGTCAGACGTAATAACACCAAGTCCAACAAAACTTGATGCAGCAATAATCATTGGCAGGTCGGTAGGCTAAAGATGATTAGCAATTAATTTCACTTATAAGAAAACATCACCTTACATCTCCCAGTATCTCGGTGTTGTAGTATTGAATAATTGGAGAGCTGACAAGATAAACGCCAGGTGGAAAGAAAACAGTGGCAGGATAAATTGTGCTAGACCCACAATCGATACCGCATCTTCCACCATATGATATTGCTGCATTGATAGCTTCGGTATCGTCTGTCAAACCATCACCTATGAAATTAATTAGTGAAATGAGGCAGCATAAAGCCCAAGACTTTCACATACCTGCAGCACCATAATCCATAACATTTCTCCAAACTTGATAGCCCGTCGGGGCAAATGGACTTTGGCCATTTTGCTCGATGCTTCTCATCCAGAAAGTTGAGCTTTCTCGTTTGATATTTGTGTGTTTTGCAGGTTTCTGTGCATTGTAGAGTGAGGGAAGTCTGCTCGGGGCCCATCCGTGTAAGCCATCAGGATACGCTAATGCCTGAGCCATGACGTTTGTATCATTAGTTCCAGATGTTGACATCAAGCTGGTTGGTAACTGCGGTATAGATGCTTGTTGTGGATTCAATTCCGCCATGACACGAGCAGCTGTCACAAGTTCCTTGGGGAGAGTGTATGCATAGCTTCCCTTTGGAGAATCCGCAGTCTTGTGATCACTTGATGAACTTTCGTCCAAATTCCGACTGTTGTTTGAAAATTTGTTATCCTTTCCGTAAGATAGTGGTGGTGCTTTTTCACGACTGCCCAGAATTTCAGATGCATTTCTGAATTCGTACCTATTTCTTTGAGGATTTTGTAGTCTAAGTCGATTTGCAAGCACAATGGCCTTCATACCCTCGAATAGGGTGGTTTCTGCATTAGCTAGACCTGCAAGTTCATCGATGCTGTCATCGCGATTAACAATTCTCAGGTGATGTCTCTCATGATGAGAATGAGAGAGTGGTTCATTCCGAGACAATGCTGTTGCTGAATAGACGCCAATTATGTTGATCATAATGAGTATGAGGAGACTCATAAAGAAAATGCTTTGCATGTTAAATCCTTTAGTTATCATTAATGCCATTATGTGGATGTCTGGAGGCAGTAAATTGAATGAAAAAAAGGGTTGTAAAACGAGCAGAAAAAGAGAGCGTTCACCAAGGTTATGGGGTTAAAATCTTTATCTAAAAGCTGGAGAGATAATGAATCAACAAAGATATGATCAAATGTGCAGATTTTCAGTTACCCTAGTAACTAACTCTCCCAGTAGCTTGAAGTCAATCAAAGTGTCGAAATTTATTTCAAGATGATTCCAGAGTTTCACCGCTATTGTATAGCTATCAAAAGCAATTTACACCTCTCCAGGTACACAAATATACTATATTAAGATTAGAGATGTCCCAAACATTGGCCAATATGTGTTCGTCTGATATACTGTCGCAGAATAATGGACAGCCATAGGACTAAGACCTCCAAGTACCTACCTACCTAGTGAAAATTTGCACTACCGAGATTGCTCGCATATTGGAAATTGTGAAATTAGAATGAAGCTTGGACAAAATTTGCACCTCGAGTATGTTTTTATCAGAAAGTGAATCAACATGAATCAGATTTTACACATGCTCATATCACTTGAAGTTCCTCTCATAGTCACTTCTGGCTTCTCTGGATACCTTTCATCAACACTAACTAAAACCTTGCACAAACTTCTATTGATGGCCTTTTGACCTAGAACGATAGATGCACAAAAGATATATACTGTTTCTCCAATTGTTCAGATATTTTTGTCCAGCTTTCAAAAATCCTCAAAATTTGGGCCTTTATCGATATTTATGCAGAGAGACTGCCAGTGGCCTGTACCTTCTCTCAGTGCGGTGCTCAGTATGGAGTTACCTCTTATCCAAGTCAATCGAAAGAAATGGCAATTGATCATTATTGCACTCTTGGCGCTGTTAATTTCGACAGCAATGGCGCAAGAATGCAGTGCTACAAGTCTCTGTGCTACTGGATGTTGTAGCGAGTTCGGTTTTTGTGGTACTGGCGATGATCATTGTGGAAAAGATTGCTTGTCTACATGCGACTATAAGCTTGGCTGTGATGTTAACAATCCTTGCCCTTCTGGGAAGGGATGTTGTTCAAAATTTGGATTTTGTGGTCTTGGTCCAAACTGTAAGTCAAGTTTTGATTCTCATCTGTTTGCTTTACTGATGTTTTCAATAGATTGTGCTCCTGAGGTCTGTGTGGCGAATTGTGATCGAAAGTCCGAATGCGATCCTGGCTATGGTGCTTTTGGGTATTCTGAAATCGAAAAATGCCCATTAAATGTCTGCTGTAGCAAGTAAGATCTTTAGCTTGAGGTGTATTGTATTTTCAGCTCGCTAACATGTTGTAGATGGGGATTTTGCGGACTCACGGAAGAGTTTTGCGGCAACAAAACCATTACACGTCCATCATGCAGCTCTTCTGGCTCCACTACTCGGCGTACTGTCGGCTAGTATGTATTAAATCATTTCAGTCCTCAAACTGTAAAAAGCGAACTTGTCTAACGTATATATAGTTACGAGGGATGGGCAAATCGAAAAGTCTGTCAACCGTTTCCACCAGACATGATACCAGTTGGGACTTACACACACATCAACTTTGCATTTGCATCCATTGACCCTATTACGTTCAGTATCGTTCCTGGAGACCCTAGCGACGTTGAACTATATGAGCAGGTCACGATGCACAAGCTGCTGCAGCCTGACCTGCAAGTGTTCATAGTTATTGGAGGATGGACTTTTAACGACGCTGGGTTGACAGCCACCACGTTCAGTGATCTAGCAGCATCTTTGGAAAATCAAAAGAAGTTTTTTACATCTTTGACATCTTTCATGTCAACATACAACTTTGATGGGGTGGAAATCGACTGGGAGTACCCCGTAGCGGATGATAGGAATGGAAGACCTGCGGATTTTCACAACTTTCCCTCTTTCATCGCAAATCTAAAAAGCCACCTCACTCCTATGGGTAGGGGCGGTGTTTCGATTACATTACCTGCATCATATTGGTATCTGCAATATTTTGACCTTGAAAAGCTACAGAAGAGTGTAGACTTCTTCAACATCATGAGTACGTACCATTTTTGCGCTGATAACTACATGACTACATGACCACAGGCTTGATCTAAAGTGCTGACATTGAGTTAAAGCCTACGATATGCATGGACTATGGGATAAGAAGAGTAAATGGGCTGGAAATTTTCTCAACGGTAAGATTTCAAATATTCTGTGCATTCATCAACTTACGCAGCAAAATAGCACACACAAACCTCACAGAAATTACCACTGCCCTCGACTTGCTTTGGAGAAATCATATCAACCCCAGTAAGGTCAATTTCGGGCTTGCTTTTTATGCAAGATCATTTGCAATGCTAGATCCGACTTGCTCTGCACCAGGCTGTCGTTTCTCATCTGGTGGAAATGCAGGCCGATGCACCAATTCGATCGGAACACTTTCAAATGCGGAAATCGCAGACCGGATTAAAGAGAATGGGTTGACACCAATACACTACGTTGATGCGGCCGTCAAAATAATTACATGGGATGATCAATGGGTGGCATATGATGATGCAGAAACCTATCAACAAAAACTAGATTTTGCACGAAGCCAATGTCTCGGCGGAATCATGGTTTGGGCATTGAGTCAAGATTCTGCGGATCTCAATTCCTCCAAAGCCATTTTTATAGCCACGAATAGTAGCTCACGTACTTCTTACTCGCTTAAATCAGTTGCGAGCACAGCTGAAGATGCGGATCAGCCATCAACAACTTTAATAACAAATGTGCCATATCGACAGTGCCGATGGTCAGATTGCGGATCTGGATGCGAATCCCTTGGCGACAATTTCCTTCCCATTAAACGCGCGATTGGCGAGGGAGATGGCAAATTCGGGCACCCAGAAGGCGAAGACATACAAGACTCGAGTTACTGTGGCTCAGCATCCTTACTCCGTAAATTCTGCTGCCCCACAGAACTGTCCATGCCTACATGTGCACATTTTTTTTTCAACAACGGGAAATGTAATGCTGATAATACCAACAGCTGTACCGATATGGATAAAGGTTATGTTGAGGTTGGCAGCATTAACAGCTTCTGCAACACTCGAAAGAAAGGTGGCTACGAGCAGATTTGCTGCACAACTGATACACCGTCTATGAAACTGTATAGTCAAAGTATATGGAATGGAAAGCCTGGACAGTGTGATACCAAATCAAGAGGTCCTTTAGATTTTAACGGTTGTCCTACCGACAACTATAATGTCAGGGTTGCAGATTCAATTAAAGGAAGTGGTGGTACTTACTGTGGACTTGAACCAGTTCCGTTCAGATTGCAAGATGCACCTTTGATATATCAAAGTCGTGTTTATTGTAGTAATACTGGGACTGGAAACGGTAGCTGGGGCGAATGCAACGTTTATAAAAATCATGGCCCAACACCACCAGGGCGATCTCGTGGATGGTGTCAATCTGGTTGCCCTATCGGCCAGATTAGAGTGGCAAGTTAGTCAAAATATGCTTTCCCTTGAATTTTCCCATTGATTTGGATACATGCTGATAGCTTCGTTTTCTAGTGGAAGATCCGTCCCCATGTCAGGATAATGGAGGAGCCATAGTGACGTGTTGTGAGGGGGACTACTCTTATGAAAAATCACAGGTAGTGATCAGTGAGCTACTGAAGAAATATCAAGACGCAGCAAAGGATTTCGTAGAATCCTATCAGGAAGAATGTTCTGCATTCCTTGCTTCAAATGCAAATGGAGATGGCTTGAACCTTGGATCCTCTGCGTTTAACCTTGATTCAAGAAGCAAAAAAGGTTTCAGCTCAGTGGAGACAATGGTTTTACTCCTTTACACACTCCTCAATGATCCTATAGATGGGAATACTATGCTTAGGGCCGAACGTGAACTCTGTAAGTTACATCCATTTATTCTGACGATTCAAAGCCATGCAAATTAATGCTCACATATCTTAGGGGAACTCACCATGCAATCCTTAGGGCTGCAAAATCTTGGTCTCACACCACTCAGAAATTTTCTCCTCGCCGATAGAGGATTCAGACGAATTTCCAAACTCCTACAAGCCGAGCAGGTCCCATGCAACGCAGAAAAGATCAACGACGTGATTGGTGCTGCCTCGAACAATGGTAGCGGATTGTTGACTGAAGAATGTGCTATTTTCACTATTCCATGCTTAGACCCAGATTTCTTCTACACCGATCCAAACTCAAAGTACGATTACGTTGCTTCTCAAGCAAGCGGGAATCCGATAGATTCCTGTGAGCCTAGTAGGAAAAACCCTAATTTCTCAGGAAATGATGAAACACTCCATCAATTAGGGAAACGAGATGGGGCTCCAAGAGAGTATTCCATAAATCTTGGGACTGATGCGCGTGGAAATCCGCGGATAATTTTCATCTGGTCCTTTTCATATCCAAGTGGCCAGAACGGTCAGACTTTCGTCGAAATCACTCGCAATATAGACAGATATAGCTTAAACAATCCTGAAGATTGCACTGACGCATCTTATGCCCCAACTGCTGACCCTGAAGACACACCAGCTTGGGTTGGTAAGTTAAAATACACTCCTTGCTTATCGTCATGAAGAAAAAACTGACAGATTTAATTTTAGTTGAGCATATTTTTGAATTGCAAACACCATCTAGATTGCTAGAATTTATGGTCCATGGAATCTTACCTCAAGTTGTCACCGGAGGCGTCACCGTACCTGAATATAGGACCCAGAGAACCCTCATGGATCCCGATATATTGGAAAAATATTTCCAAAAACCATATCAAACTTGGGATAGGGTAACTGAGGGCTTAAAGGGTCGACCTGATGCGAATCTCATGCACTGCTTGGGGGCAAAAGATAACACGAAGAATATCCGTTTGATGGATGCTGCTGGAAATGCAATAAAATCAAGGGTAATTTTAAACTCTCAGTTCTTTATAATCGCGCTGACAAATATGAATGAGTTCTAGTTATGGAGTCTAAAATCCCCCATTGCTGATGCAACATGGGAAGAGAAGGGATATGACATCGCAACCCAAAAAAACGGTAACGCTGCGCTCTCGGCTATTCGTGATGTATTAAATCTGTTCCTCGATGCAGAAACACTAAACTAATATTTTTTCAGGTGCTTGCAGTCATGAGCTATTTCAGACAACCAGCAATTGATAAGAGTATCCGTTCTATAGTTACTGATATGCACGACGCGTTTCTTGAATTTCAGGACGCATTGAACACTAGTCTAGCCCCTCAATATTTGGAGATTGTAACCCTCTGGGATGAAGGAGTTCAACAATGGGCCATGCGTATGAATCAATTTACTCGGGACTGGCTTCGCATCAAGATATCAAAGCTGCGAAGCTTGTGGGAATCCTTTACTACTACAAGTAGTCCCACAGACCCCTTGAGAGCATATGCGCGGCGGATGCTTAGAACCTTGAATGAATTGGAATTGCAAGTAGATCTACCAACCGCACAGGTGGATCTTACCGCTTTCGCACCTTAGCGGATTGCCTGTAATTAAATTAGGATTACCATCAACGGCAAGATGCAATGCATGAGTACAATATAACATTCATCTTCTTTGGGCCTTCTTTTGTGTCTATATCTGTCGCAATGACGTGACTTTTGAACCTAGTACCGCGAATTATAGATTGCTCGAGATCTCCTGTCACAACTGTGAAACTGATCCCATCAAGATTGAACGGCCATTGGATCAATGGTCAGTGTTATTGGGGCTTGAACAAGAACCAGATTTATTTTAATCTAGCATCTTGCTAAAAATAGCTACCAGAGATTACGATACATGATCTAAACAAGTGTGAGATATCGAGGCACTGGTTTAATTGATTTATGGGGCAGGAGTAAACGGAAATATCATGAATGAAAAATAAAGTCTTCACCAGCACACTCGCCTTTGAAATTTTTCTTAAATGGTCGAGGATTATGTGGTTTACATATATGACACAGAGCACATTACCTGAAATTGGAAGATGCCTGATACAATATGTAGCCTAGCGAGGCTGTGAATCGAGGAGATGAGGTGTCATGTATATTTCTAAGTGACCTATTAACATTGCAAGAGCTCATGTATCAGATGTAAATCGGTCGTCAATCTGTAACCCGAGCGTCTGAGCTGGTGTCGATATTGGTTCTTCCACTTGAAATATTATCCGACCAATAAATCGACCATTTTTATGAATGAAGAGCAAGGCTTATGCCACAGAACCAAATTAGCGAGCCCCACAGTCGTATTGTCGAGAAAGAATATGTTTCGAAGCAAGGTTGAAAAAGTAGCAGATAAAGTGGAATTAGTACAAACGAACGAACTCGCGATCAGAAACTCGCTATTATTTCAAGAATTCAGGTGTGCCAGAAGACAGAAATCTACAAAAGGACGCGAACAAAAAAACTAATTAGAGAAACCTGAGCAGGATCTTCATGGTGAATAAGTCTTCATCGATCTAGAGAAGAATCTGGACTCAAATCATGCATCAGCCTGTAAGGGATGATGGAATCTCAAAAAATCACGACGTCTAAAATAAATTTATCAGCCCGGAGAAGACTTTTCTCCGAACATTACATATCTACGAAGAGATACATATTATCGAATAATACGCTGCGTTTTTTGGACGAGATCAAACGAATTTTAGAAATCATACCACTAAGCCGCATAAACAACTGTTGCCTAGATTATCTAATAATCCGTCGTGCAGCAACTAGCACTGCAATGAACGCCACGCATGACTCACTCTAGGCAGCCCCGGAAGGGTGGTCCATTCTAAATGGTGCAGGTGCATTACAAGACCTTTTGTACCACCACCAAATGCGTGCCGAGCCATGATCTGCTGGTAACCGTACAGTGTGCGCTTATTGATAGGCCTTTAAAAACCTCGCTTAACCGAGCAGTTTCAAGCGCCTTGCAATTACAGATCACCACGAGACGTATAGGCAAAGATGTGTAAGCGGGCCACTGGCGACCAAGAGTGTTCAAATGTGAGTTGGAAATCGACTACTCAGTGTTCGAGATGTTCAGAAGTGAATTGAAAGTGAAAAGTAAATGCCCACAGCCGAAATAGACATTAAAAGAATTTTGAGCATGACTGTGAAGTTGAAGAATAGTGGTATTTGCCAAATAAAACTGATTCGGAAACGAGGAATAAAAGAGATTCAAGCAGGAACTTCAACGATCTTCGCGTTTAAATATGGACAAATCAGCCAGTAAATGAATCATTACCTTATGAAAGTCTACCGATACAGATTATGATGCTCCAAGCCATCAGGCATCTAAGAAATATCTTCAATAGATCGAGCATGCCAGTCATCCAAGTCAACAAATCCTTCTCATCTTCTAACTCCTCTGTTTAAAACATAACGGGTACCGCCAAGATATTTTGTCTTGAATTCTGAGTACTAAACAGATGATCAGTCAGTAAAAATTTCCATTCTCCCAAAGACTACAAGTAGCGTGACCCACCTCCAGTTTCCAATCCCAGCGAAACCAATTTCTTTTTCCATCCTCCTCCCGACCATTTGCGGGATCATCAGGCTGGTAAAATTCCTTGAACAAGTGCAGACCATCTTGTTTTGGTTGCCAATCCTGCTTGCTAGCCCAGTACATGTACCCGTTCCCATTGAAAGGCTGGGATTCGGCGAAAGTACATCCAGTTTGTTTCCTCTGATATTCGAGTCTCCACGCGTGGAGTTTCCCTTCTTGTATCTTGATCTTCTCACTCGTATGTTGGATAACTTGTACCAAGTCTATGCCCGCTTCGTCACAGAGGCGGATTACCTCGCACGGCCATCCGATCTCGTAACCTAGCTCTTCCCATTCTTTCAAAAATCTGAAGATAAGCAGCAAGATGACGGGGATATTCTTCACCGTAGAATTCGCAGCGAAAAGATTGTGCTCGGAAAGCATTTCGAGAGATGTTAGAAGCATAGTCCCAAACTCGTTAACTATAGCTTCGATACGAGAGCTGTCGTCGCACACTGACGATTTATTAGTTATACCAAGGCGCAAAGGATAGCTGGGGATAGAGATTAAAGCATACTAGCCCAATTAATCAACTCTCCAAAAGTCAAGAAGGACGCAAGCCCTTCAATATATGCCCATTTGTTGTATGGACTAACGGTTTTCTGGAAAATATCCCGATCAAAATCCCTCATCTACAAGAAAGGCTAACATCAGATTTTGCTTAATGAACTATTGCGGAAGGGCTGATGGGAGTTCTCATATACCATATTCAGCATAATTTCAGAAATGCCGCTTCCAGACCAGTCATCATCATCAACTTGTTCTCGTTTTTGTTGTTCTTTGAGCAGGTGCTCTGCGAGTTTAATTCCATTCTTAGAAACAAGGAATCCAGAAGTGGAAACCATGCCACCACTTGTGGAGGCTAGTTGTGCTCTTTGATTTCCAGTGCTAGGTTCAGAGTCGAGTCGAAATTTCGTTGTCCGGCCTTGGCTCCAACTAAGGGTATGATAATTCGGTTTCTTGGATAACTGGAAAGGGTACTTTTTGTTAGTCACAAACTTCCACCGAATGAGAAGAAACTTACCGTTTCAGGATTTGAGTACTTGAAGTCTCTCATCTGAAGATTGCTGAATGGCTTTGAAGCTGGTAGTTCCGTGAGAGACAACTTGTTGTCTGCATTTCTAGAACTGCCAGTTGTGACATCGGTATCTGAGTCACTGGATATGTCGATCACGATCTTATCTTTGGGAGGCATCTGAATTTTTAGTGTTGTAGTTTTGAAGTGGAAGTTCTTGATCATCCAGAGAAAAACAAGCTTATCTACATCTCTGACACTAGCAACCAGTGTTGCCTGGTAAAAAGAAAGGCCACTTCTCACCCATATTAAGTGTAGTATTTTGAACACTGCCAGCCAATGGCCAACCAAACTATTTGAATATGCAAGGGTATCGTAGAATTCTAATTGCCTGCGAAGAAGGTAAGTTGAAGAAAGACCCCATTCGCTCGCGGCTTTGGCCGTATGCAGGCCATCAAGCATTGCCTAGGCTATTTCCTGACGAGGTTCTCATCGATGCGTTATTTCCTGAAAATCCGTTCGACTTAGAAATTCCTTAACATCCATGGATGTTTTCTTTTTCAACTAGCCGGCGAAATGCCCAATCCTGACCGATTTGTAATCCATGCCGATATGCATGATGAATTGACTTCAATAGACAATTACCTATGTGAGAGATCACGGGAAAGATAGAAACTGTGTCCACAACTTGGCTTGTAGTATGAAATATAGGCGCCATATCGATCTTAGATGGTGAAAATCTTGAAATTACTTGCCCAAACGTCCATAACTACCCTCTCTTTGACTACGAGTCGGTGGCTAATCATTTTATCTCTTATATTTGAACATTTGAGTGTGCTCTTGGTAGTCCACGATAGGGGCCTCACAGAGAGCTGTGAATAGCTCTCCATCCCTTACATCGTCTTCAACTCTCATGACACTTATCTAATTTTACTTTGCCGCCTTCCGTCTCTTTTCTCCTCACCAAGATCCTCACCATGATCTCCGCCTCAATTTTTCTTCTTCATCTCTTCTTTTAATCTTTTCAATCTTCAAGACATGAGACTAATTCTTTGGCCCAATATAGTCTAAAATCTTGGATACACTAATCGCATTTGTGACTCGTAAAATACTAAGCAAGAGGATGAAACCTAGGGTTATGGAATGTTAGTTGAGACTTGGGCACCTTCGACAAATCGTATTTGTTCCCGCCTTTGAGATTGGCTTTTGCGAATTGATACTGTAACATTGTATCAGCATCGACGATGACGAGTAAGGGAAGGAGTAAACATTGCAATTACCTCTGTTTTCCAATCCCATCTATACCAATTTTTCGTGGGGAAAATCCATCGTGAGTCAGGTTCTTTTTCTTTCATATCATCCTCAGGACGCCAATCACTCTTTTCGGCCCAAAACTTATACCCGTCTCCATCTTCTGCCCCTTCGAAATTTTCTTTCTTTTCCTTGTATTCCTCTCTCCAAGCCGTTAACTTTTCCTCATCTATATCTACTTGTTTTCTGATAGACTTGCTGAGATCTATCCCTGCTTGGTCGCATAATCGAACGACCTCACATTGCCAACTTGAGCCATCGAAAAGATCTGTGGTATATGAATCGAGGAATTCGAGAATGATGAGGCAAATGATAGGAATGTTCTTGATCTCTGAATCCGCACTGAAAAGTTTGTGCTCTGAGAGCATTTCAAATGAAGTGAGTACCATAATTCCGATCATACCGACTTCTTCTCTTAGTCCATCAGGATTATCCTGCACTAAAAATATTGTCAGTTTGTTGATAAAGAGGACATAATACTGCGTACTCAACCATTCTGCAGGGTCTCCAGCTTTGAAGAAAACTGCTAGTGCTTCAACATAAGCCCATTTCTTGTATGGACTGATAGTCTTCTTGTAGATATCACGATTGAAATCTTTAAGCTATATAGACACCGGGGTCAGCGTTGAGCCACTATCAGTTCTTGACATCAACGCGGAGACTCACAAAATTTTGTATGGCCTCAGAACTTCCATAGCCATTGAAGTCGTTGTAAATATGTGTATCATAATGATCTTGGTTTCTCTTGTCACGTTCTTTGTCCAGTTTCTGGGCAAGCTCTACACCATCTTGGGATAGCGGGAATCCCATATCAGATACCCTACTACACCATTCTTCGCCAAGCGTCTCTCCTGGGTTTGGGAGATCTAAATCTTTACCCCTCCCCTTGTCGTTTTGATCCTTCTTGCCATTTCCATCATTCTTGGCAGCATCTTCATCTTCGTCTTCGTCTTCATCTTTATCGTCATCTTCATCTTCATCGTCCTCTTCATCGTCATCGTCATCTTCATCTTCATCGTCGTAATCTGTGGACTTCCAATCAAGAACGATGTAAGAGGGTTTTTTAGACAGTTAGAAGGATAATTCATGTCAGATTGAGTTCAGGGTCTTGGGTTTTAGTGCCGCGTTGCAAGATATTATCTGCTAAGAAATCATAGGGAGTCTCACAGTATTTGCGTTGGAAAACTTTATATCTCCACCCGCGATATCCGTACTTGAGGTAGGGGTGGCGTTGGCAGCTGCTTTGGCAACCTTCGAGGAACTGTTGCTGCTAGCTGCTTTCCTCTTTGGTGGCATGCTGGATGATCGAGTTTATGGTTGACACTGGGAGAGATTTGGATTCTTAAACAAGGTGAAACGACTAGGTATGTCTCTCAGTGATCGAGAATTGTTAACGATCTTTTCTCACAGTACCTCGAATATCAACGCGTTTGATATCGCGTGCTCAGCTGATTCTTTAGTTGCAAGATAAAGCCGATGGAGGCGGGATTATATGAGGAGGTGTCCGAGAACTACTAAATGCGTGAAGCCGAGGTAGTAAAGGACTGCAGAACAAACGCGGCGCAAGGGATGAAGTCGTGTTTGTTTGTATCACGTGATTACGCAATCAATAATCCTTGTTAGTTTCTTCCGCTTGCCCCTCATCTGACGCGTTCACGTCACGTCGCGTAAACCTTATCATGACAAAGTCTCAACAGAACAAACTCACAAGACTTGGACTGCGATTGGGACTCATACTCAATTTAATTCTTTCTCAATTATACTCCTCATCAAACTCAGAATTGAACTCATCTTCACTCACTCCTAGATTTTATTGCTTACGGATCGGTTTCCACGTTGGTATGAAAGGTTAAGCGCAATCTCGCATCGATTGATCCATCCTCATCGACCTAACCCCAGCTACCCCCGCAACGTAAGACAAGACATTGTCAAAAGTTCATTGAACCACACTACCCCGCCATCAAAAACTTCTCACAATGGAGGAGCATGGGCTCGCGTTACATCACGCGTTCCATGAAAAAGCTTTGGCAGTGGCACCTAAAGCTGGCAGAGAACCGGGCGAATTTTGGGCAGCTGGTATGTTGCTACTGATATCGCTTTTTGTTGAATGTCTAAGTTGCTGATTGATCCCTTTGTACTCAGTACTTGAGCCTGATAAGAATGTCTCACATTTGGATTCGGAAAATTTGCATTGGTTCAAGGTTAAAGGCAAACACACTGTTGCGAAAGTCCAAAAAGCATTTCACAAGAAATGCGGGCTTATGGTTTTACTTCATCAAGGTCATCACATCGTGTCGTTGACAAGTCAGATGCAACAAATCAACCATTTTAATGATGATGTTATCATTTTTTGGAGTACAAAAGCTGCCTCGGGAGACAATGTCTCTGACACCAGACGAAAGCCATTACAATCCATCGATGATGCAACACAAAATCGCATGCACTCTGCATCTGAAACACCGACAAAGTTCAAGCCCGACCCTGAACCGACGCTGGCTACGGTGAAGACAGAATCAGCTGTCTCAAGTATCTCTCCAAGCCCCTTCAACACGCCTGTCATCTCCCGCTCGATGCCTGAAGTTGGACAGTTTCCAACCCCTAGACCTTTAGGATCAGGATCAACTCAACTAAGTATTCCTACGCCAGAACTTATCTCTGGTTATAAATTATTCGCTGACGCTCATCGTAAAAACTACTGGGAATCTAAAGGTACACCTGGTAGGTTATAGTCTGATAAAATCTGTATATTTCTAAGCTAATCGAGAACAGCTTCAATCGAGGCTGCTCTGAAGAAGTCATGGGTTGTTCTACCGCCCGCGTCGCGCCAATTCTGGGAATCGAAAGTTCCGAAAAATGCCAGCAGTACACCCTCACCGGGTAGTTCTTCTGCGTCGAATCATCTCCTAGGTTTCGAGTCCTTTGCTGAAATACATCGTGGGAACTACACAAGCTCAAGCGCAACACCTGGTAACTTCTGCTCTGAATTTAAATGTCCCATACCAGCTTATACTAACTACAAAGTAGCTGAAATCGACTCCTCCTTGCGCAGGACCTGGGATAAAATGCCAACTCAAACCCGTGAGTACTATTCAACAAAGGATGCCCAAAAGTCGAATCTTCCTATATCAAATCATGGCCCTCCCTCGCCTGAACATGCCGTTGATACCAAACCCCTTCCAAAAAGTCCCAGTCTCTCAGCCAATGGCCCTCGAGCCTCCATAACCGAAGATCAAACCTCGATGGACCCCGCAGACTATGACTTGGCGGCCGAAGGTGAAAATGGAAGCCCAGAGCCAGAACCACAAACTGTCGAACTCGCAAAGCTTAGACTTCAGAAGCTCATGGATGATAGTTCACCAGAAGTTTTGGAAGAAGAGGTGAAGAAAACAAACGATTTCCTCAATGGTTTAAAGAAGCACCTTCAAGTACCGGAAGCTCAGGGAAACCAAGACACTAGCCATTGGCTGCAACAAATCGGTAAGTGGTGCCAGTATATAGCTTTCTTCCATCCTAATCATGTTCGCAGAAACTTTACAAGCTCAAGTTGTTGATACACCAACAATTATCGGCGTCGTTGGAAACACGGGTGCAGGCAAGAGTAGTATAATCAATGCTATGCTTGATGAAGAACGCCTAGTGCCTACCAATTGGTATGTTTCCTGTTCTGTTGAGGAACTGAGATGCTCATAAATCTCTAGTATGCGCGCTTGTACCGCCGTTGTTACAGAAATGTCATGGAACTCTATTGATGACCCGAACAAAAAATATCGAGCAGAGATTGAGTTCATCCAAGAATCTGACTGGGAGAAAGACCTTGAACTTTCTCTGAATGAGTTGATTGATGTTTCTGGCAATGTAAGGAATGGATTGAATGTAACTAAATGATATCCCTAACTTCTTCTCAGGTTTCACGAGATTGTTCGAATGCAGAAACCGAAGCTGGAATTGCATATGCTAAGATCAAGGCGGGTAAGTAAAAATAACCCATCCTATATAATTTGCTTTCTAAACTGTACATTAGTCTACCCGAACAAAACCCATGAAATGCTAGCAAAATCCACCGTTGAAGAGCTTCTAGCCGAATTCGATGTTCGCAAAGTTCTCGGAACTACCAAGACCATTGAGAAGTCGTCTCCAGAATTCTTCTACAAGGAACTTCAACGTTACGTTGATAGCAAAGAAAAGTCTACCAAAGAGAAAGGCAAAACTAGCGAGAAGAAGAAAGAGAAGACGACTATGGAATTTTGGCCCTTGATCAAAGTTGTGAGAATCTTTGTAAAAGCCGATGCTCTCTCTACGTGAGTACCTGAACCTTGATTGTGCGTTCTTTCAGAAAGCTTATTGATTATTAGCGGAGCTGTTATTGTCGACTTGCCTGGTGTTCACGACTCAAACGCAGCTCGCGCCGCTGTGGCAGCTGGCTACATGAAACAATGTACCGGTATTACTACAATTTCTTTGCTTCCTTTGTAACTATTGTCTAATAAGATAACAGGTCTATGGGTTTGTGCGCCTATTAATCGTGCAGTTGACGATAAAGCTGCGAAGTCTCTCTTAGGAGAATCATTTAAACGCCAACTCAAGTATGATGGGGTAAGCGAATATGACAGACATGCCTGACTCGCAGTTGCTAATCAACAAGTAGCAATTCTCGAGGATTACGTTTATATGCTCCAAGACTGATGATATCTCTGTTCTTGAAGCGTCAGATTCTTTGGGTCTTGAAGACGTTATGACAGAAGATTACGCAAAGATTGACCAAATTGACAAGGAAGTTGATAAACTTAACGCAAAAATTGCAGAATTAAAAGAGAGCATGGCCGTGTATAATGACATCTATCACGATGCAGACGAGAGCTTAGATATTTGGGATGATCTGAGACGAGATTTAGATGCGGGTAAGACCGTTTACGCTCCCAAAGCCGAGCTTGAGAAATCTCCCAAGCGAAAGCGATCTTCTTCACCAAAGAAGTCGCGTAAGAAGTCGAAGAAATCCGAATCCGAAGATGATGACGATGATTTCATTGATGATGATGAGGATGACGACCGGGAAGTACAAGATGAAGTTTCTGATAATGAGACCGAGGTTGAGGAAGAAGACCCCGACAGAGGCGAACCTTTAACAGTCGAAGATATTGAACAAAAGATTGACGAGCTCAAGGACACCAAAAAGAAAGCCCGTAAAGAAAAGGTTGCGATTGAACTTGCAATCAAAGATGTCAAAAATCAATCGAAAGGGTTCGATGCGGAAAGAAAAGAAATTGACACCAGAATGAGAGCCATCTGTATTGATGGTCGCAACAATTATTCAAAGACCGCTATTCAGCAAGACTTTGCGACTGGTATCAAGGAACTCGACATGGAAAATGCTGAAGAGGAAGATGCCGAAAATTTCAACCCGGATGAGGACATCAGAGATTATGACGCCGTGGCTCGCAGTCTTCCAGTATTTTGCGTTAGTAGCAGAGCCTATCAACAGTTGAATGGAAGATTGAAAAAGGACGCCAGAATACCGGGCTTCCGTAATGTCCAGGAAACCGAGGTATTTTGACTTGGTAACCCTCAATTCCATGAACAGCTGATAATTGATTCTTTTAGATCCCACAACTTCAAGCGCACTGCAAGAAACTCACCGAAGCTGGTCGAAGTGCTGCTTGCCGTAGATTTCTGAATTCTCTTCTTCAGCTCGTGTTGTCCTTGTCTTTATGGTCCAACAATGATGGAACCAATATTAACCTCTCAGATTCGCAAAAGGCCACCGAGGCGCGCTGGCTTCAAAAAAACGTTAAGGATTTAGAGGAAAGCCTCGATAAGGCCGTGGGAAAGTGTATTTTGGAAATGAAAGACGCCCTGACCGAGAATATTTTCGAAAAGTTCAGCGAAGTAATACCTTTGGCTGCGGACCAAGCCCCTGGAATTGTTGCGAAATGGGGCTCCCCTGTCAACAAAATAGATCGTGCAGCTGGCGGTTTGCATTTCCAGACATACAAGGGTAATTTCTCTTCAGACGAATACTATTACCACGCTAACGATACTAGCTGTTACTCGTAGAGATGGTGTTTATGGAAACAAGAGTGGTAAGACCCTATCTTATGGTTTTCAAAATAATGCAAAACTAACGGCCCAAGGTACATATGATTTTAATAGCGACTTGACAGAGCCAATCATGAAATATCTGGCAAGCCATTGGGAGAAGAATTTTTCCCGTCGACTTCCCTCTGTATTGCGTAGTTTCACTACAAACGCCAATCTGATCCTGAAGAAGTTTCATCAGGCAGTTGAGAGTAGAAGCCGCAGAAATGGTTCTGGAATTGCTGGCTTGTCCATGCTGTCTCAACAACTCCGAACTTACGAAGCAACTTTCTCGATCTTAACCACGGAAATGGTCGAAGCTATTAACAATCTTCAACGTGATGCCAATCGAGAATTTGTGCCTGTAATTGCTAGGAACTTGGCACCTTCTTATCAATACTGTGCTAGTGAAAGAGGTATGTTAAAATCTTGCTTTCCCATTAATTTTGGTGCTAATGTCATTTCAAGGAGCTGGCATGTATATGCGCATGAAAGACCATATGCGCGATTCTATTGATCAAAAACGCAACTCTATGTTCAAAGAAAGTTGCGATGAAGTCAAAAGGAGTCTCGATAAGATGTGTAGACGAGTTGAGGAGAGTATGAACAACAAGACCGACGAAGTTTATTTGCTTATGCGCAGAGATTACTTGCAGGTCCTCAATGGTGCTCAAGTTGGTGGTGAAGTAATGCCAAAATGGGAACGTCATATGAGATTGCAAGTTGCTCGTGCATTGGAGACCTACGAAAAAGATGAAGCGGAGAAAGTTCTCAGCAGCGTTAAGGATGAAGAGTCTGAAGAGACTGGATCTCTGAAAGAAGATGAGGTCATGAAGGATGTCAAAGCTGAAGAATTGAGTGGTGAAAAGGACGATGGACTTACCGAAGGCAGTGCAGCTCAGGATGACGAACTCAACGTTGGTGCCGAAAGAGATGATGCTGCAGAGGAAATTGCTGTCAAGAATGAGCGTCCCGCGGATACAGAGACTAGCAATGACGAGGAGTCTGGAACGCATCAAGAAGCTCCTGAGATGGAATCTTCTAAAATGGATGTTGATGCTCCAGCTGCCGAAATTTCTTCTGCTATTCTTCCTCCTGCCGAAGTTACCCCAACAGAAGCTGTCTTTACCGAAGCTACTTCGACCGAAACTTCTGTGCTTCCTTCCGCTTAGACACCTATATGTTTAGCCTTGCTGCTCATAAGCCACTATCTACATTTTATTTTTGTAAGATTTTCGTTTCATTCTCTTTCTGCTAGGGTGGCGTTTACGGATATGACAAAATTTTCATAATAATGGTGTTCCACGACGCGCGGACGGTCTTTGATTTTTGCTTCTTGCTATGGCTTTGTTTAGGAGTATCTGGGCAAAAAAACTAGCGAATGATAGGATGCGATGACTGGGATTTAGCCCAACTAAGATGGGTTTAAAAACAAATGTTGGGGATTGTTACTTCAAAGGGTCGTTATGATGGGTATTTGCCTAAAATTATCTAGGTATGATGATGTCTGCTGGTTATAAGCTAGTGTATGAGGTAAAAATCAATATTTGCAAGTTCTGATAGCTGTGATGTGTTTCAGTGATCCATTATGAAGACCAAAAAGGAACAGTCCATCGTATATGCTTACACTGAGCTCAAGTCGCCTTGGGGATTTGACAGCAAGGTGAGCGTACGGGTGCCTCTATTACTCCGCATTCGCATATTTGGATTGATGGCAACCGTACAAGTTCTGTAATCATATGACAGATCTTTCATGATGTTCTTATACTGACATCACACTCTAGGAATCGTTTGTTAAGAAGATCTCTGGATTACGAAGGAGCGAAGGTATGATTTCTTCCAGGTTTTCATCACTACTTGAGCGACAACTAGGGTAAGAACGAACGGCGAAAAGAGGTAGATTTCTCATGTTGATACTGCAAAGCACAAACCTGTTCATTATCAATGTCATTCACATAATCATTACGCTCGTTCAATATCCACGAGCATTTGTTTACTTTGCATACCTAGAAAGCTACTTTATTATCACTGTCGTTATCAAAAAACATTATAGCAAAGATTAGAATATTCATTCAATATGGTTTTTCGACCCGACCCAGCCCTATCAACCGTTCGTGCTTTATTGGCGGAACCCAAATTATCAGAGATCATTATCCATCTTACATTCGCCTCCTCGTCCATTTCGAGAGAAATTCATGCTCTAAGGAAGACAATAAGCCATAACAAGCTCTCTAATGTCAAAATCCAGCAATCTATATCCAACAATCTTAAGATAGTGCTAAGAAAACACAAACTTCATCCTTGGAAATTCATCAATATTGAGCTAAATTTTGAAGGGGCAGAATATATACCATTAATTGACGAAACACTGAAGGATATTTTGAGAGATTTTGCCTGTAGTTTGGGGCATTTCGAAGGTTGTCCTGTTTCGGTGGGTACGTCTCGGTTCCTACCAGATAGTGGCTCTTATGTTCGTGGATTGGTGAATGTAAGTGTTTTTTTGTCCAGATTTTGTCTCAGCTGAAGTCAAATTTGATGAAATGATCCATTACTTAGCTTAGGATACTCACTGATACCGTATCGATAGCACGATGAACTACTCCACTACATTCCTCGCCCTCGGATATTCAATGGATATTCGACTCGACAATTACAACGTAGGGAAACTTCAAATGCCAATTCAACTCCCTGTAGCAAAGCTGATGCAAAAATTGCGCAATACACTTCAATCGGACTTCGACTAAGTGGTATTAAGCTACGTGGAGATTGTCATGAACCCTCAACATCTGCGCAAGAATCCAGTTCGGATTCGACATCAAAGGATGGCTCTGGGGAAGAGCCTCATGTGAAAACAGCCCTCTCCGAACTATCCGAAGAGCTCAATAAGCAATCTCAACAACAAACGCAGCAACCACTGATACCTCAAAGCATCGGAGCTACTACTAAAGGACAGCCAAAAACTGATGTTCAAACGATGCAGTATCACCAAATGAAGAAGATGCAGATGCTGGCCAATGCTAAGCATTTCAACTACCAAATACCTACACACATGACAACCACTATGAAAGATGAGCCTATAGAAGCCACTAACTCCTCTAATGATTCAGATGAAGGGGGAGTTTCTATATATATAAAAACAACCCCGAATTGCTTTGAGGTGGTGAAAGACTGGGTAGAACAAGTTGAAATGGAACGACAAGATACCAAGAAAAAGTCGTGTTTCCACCCTTTGCAAAATGAAAACTCTGGTACAATTCTTGAATGGCCATGGGTTCAAACCGAGCTACATGGAGCTTTGCAACAGCTTGCTGTGGCGGAAACCCCTACCCTAGAAGTTGACTCTGGGCCGGACAGTGAAGAAGCAACTTCTTTCATTTCAGAAAGCATTCCATCCCAAGTAACCTCAGAACAATTAGCTTCAACCGGCTTTGGAAGCGTAACAAGTTTCGAGACTCCTTGTAATACTCCACTCGCAGCAGATGTCAAAGAATCAACTTCACCTATTTCAGAATGCCTTCCTCATCTTCGTGGAGGAGATGCTTCAAACAGAAACAACTTTAAACAGTACTTCAAGCGGATCACCGAGAGAATTTCCTATCACAACTTTCAGCATGATATAGATCTTGGTTATGGTGGTTCTAACTTTGCTGCGGAACCATTTCCTGAGTATGATCCAACAATAGACTTGAGGATTGATACAAGACGCGGCATTCGAGGTAATGATTCTGTTGAATCTATCGCCAAGCCCAATCCTGAAATTTTCACTGAAGGCAATCAGCCTTATAGCTCAAGCGTTGAATCTAAATCAAAATGCCATTACGACTTCACGAAAAATCTCAACAGCAGCAGTGATTCTACACATTCGTACACTGGCCTTGAAGTGAATGATATGCGACTTAGGGGAGGGATCATAAATACGGCTGGGAGTCTTTCTATTGATAGTCCATCAAAATCGTCAAAGGCTACCCATAAACGCGATAAGTTACGTGTTATGGTTACAATTCCTCTGAGATCTATCAAAGAGAAGTTCTTTTGCGAGAGATACAAGAAACAACCCCGGAAGAAAGAGGTTGAAGATAGTGATGAGTACGAAGGCAGCGAAAGAATTAGCGATGAATCCAAGAGGCGATTAGAAACTACGGAAGGCGAGGAAGAAAGGGAATCTTCGGAAGACAAATTTGAACAATATGAGCGGTACCCTGCACTTGCCGGAGCGAGCGAAGGTTCACACTTGAGCAATGTATACCAGTATCCACGGCTGGAAATCAACACCGAAGTCGAACTTGCGGCAAATGTAAGAGGGTTGGAAACGGATTCACCGGAGCATCACTCCAGCAGTCGTGCCAAAGAACCGGAACCGACAGATATCCATGAGTTGGGATTTAAAGCTAAAATTCAAAAGAAAGAGAACAGACTCGGTGTAAAGAAAAACTATCGGCTGATAACTAATTTTATTCTGGGAGCTTGTACAAAGTTTGCCAAGGGAATAACTCAAAGGAGAAGGAATTTGGCAAGAACTGCTCAAAGCAAGTTATTTCGTGATTCATCGCTTAAATCCACGCCCTACAATGATGTACTTGACGAATAAAACTCAGCTACGAGGAGGGAGTGGGAATGAGAATGAGACCAGATTTTTTACAAGAAACAGGTTGAGGTTTGCGCGATTGTTAAGAAACCGTTCAGAAAGTGAAGGGGCAATAATAGGACCTGATCTACCAGCGACGGAAAATGACATGCCTGGCACAGAAGATAGACTGCAAAGACATCATCGAGATGACAGTGGTGTTTCGGGGATGGGGGATGGGCAAAATCGAGATAAAGATGAATCTGTAGAAAATGAAACTCCTCGACAAGTTGTCAACCTTTCAGAACAGGGAGCTGAAACTGTTGAAACGGTTAGAGAGGTTGATTCGGATACTTCGGAGGAAAGAGAAAATGCAGCACAGGTTGAAAATGTTGAGCATGTTGAAGATACTGAGTCTCCGAAGCCTTCAGAGCCTGACCGGGCTTCAAGACAACGACCCGAAAGCCAACAAGAAGAAAATGAGACGGAAAATGAGACACAGCGGCGTTTTAGAAACGAGCTTTTAGATATCTTATGGAAGTTTCTTTCTCTCAAGGAGGAAATCTGGTTCAAGCGCAATGCTATCATACATGGCGCCCCTAGTTCTAAGCACAACTTCGAAACACAGCTTACCGACGATGAGGTAGATGACATCCGCCAATATGTACAGAACAGTTGCGAAATGGTAGATCTGAGCAACGAACCGCGGGATGCCGTTACCTTTCCCAACTTAGTTACACGCGCAAACAATCACTTATTAAGGGCACGTCGTGTGCGGGAAATCTTTGACAATTGGTATACAAGAGAAGGCCAACAACACAGACAAGATGGTTCTTCCTCTAACGCGCGCGAAGCATCTTCAGACACTGGCAAGGCCGGTCCGGTTACGGCAAAGGGTGCGGGAGTCTTGGATGATTGGCCTTGTGCAGCAGCCCCAAGTGAGAATTTCAGGCGTGATAGAAATGCTAGCGAGGCGGGTGCAGATATCTCAAGAAATTCTTCTGATACTCAATTATTTCGTAGACGGTCTTCACTAATCTTAGCTCCGCTTCCGGATCTGTTCCCAGCGGCTGACCCCGGTCAAGCATTTCGGGGTGAAACACGTGGGGAATCTTCGAGGAGCGGCGCTGGTGGAAAGGGGGGTAGTATCTCTGAGAAGATAGACGTGTTGAGGGTCAAAAACAACATTGCTTCCAAAGGTTCTCAACACGAATCCAGTATCAGCACCACTGGTGGTAACGAAGCTACGCAAGGCGGCATGCCCAACTGTCGAGAGCAAAACGAGGATCATGTATACCAGGAGCCCATTCCTGCAGAAATGATGCAGAGACTTGGAGATTTGGGAGCGTCGCGTGTTGAAGCTGTTAATCTTCTCAACGCTACTGCTGGGAATGTTGATCGTGCGGCTGAAGTGCTGCAAGATGAAAATCCTCTCGGACAGGAAGATATGAGGAATATGCTTGTGGATCCGGAGAATGATCTGCATCAGGTGGTGGTGGTAACGGGTGTTCCGCCCCGGAGAGCCTTTTTAGCTTTGCTTGTTAGTGAGAGTGATGTTGGTGGGGCGATTGATCTTTTAACGGGTGAGGCGATTGGTGCGACGATGAATGATGAGACGCCAATTGATGAGGTTATTAGCGAAGAGGATAGTGGGAATGGATCGAGTGGTAATGAGATGAAGAAAGATGGAGAAGGAGAGGAGCGTGAGAAGAGTAGTAGTGAGGAGTCGGATGTGGAGGTTGCGGAAACAAGCGAGGGATGCGAGCCTCTTGCTAGCGAGACAGAAGATAATGAGGGGGGAGTTGAGTCTAGGGAGGGCAATAGTGCAGGAACGAATGTTGATGCTGCTGAATCGGATGAGGAATACCAGCCCCTTATTGGCAAGACGGATAACAATGATGAGGATAATGTACATGGAGAACATAACATGGATAATGATGGTCATGCTGACACAGATGACAATGATAATAACGGGGCAGGCGAGGCTTCCACTATTGAGCTGGAGACGGTATTTACTTCTCGTAAAGGAAAAGAAAGAGCAGAGGGGTACGATCTCTAAAACGGGCAGATTTTCCCAGGGGCTGGGCTGGGCTTGGCGAATAACTGTATGTCTTTATTTCTTGTTCTTTGAGAAAAGATCAGCGGATTGTATATAACTAGCGGGGGTTTGAGGATGATTGGAACAGTTCAAGCGTATAATAGACATTTTTTTAACGGTCGATTGTGGGCATGAAAGATGATTGATTATGTTCCAATTTTATAAAGAAATGGCAGGATCGCCAACTTCACAGGTGTTCGTGTAGTAAGGCAGTCTCATCGCTTTTATTACATATACCTCACATCAACTTTGAAGCTCTGTCTACACCTTAGTGGACGGTGGAGAAGCAGAGGAGTTGGAGTGGTAAAGGTGGAAGCGCTAGCTTTTGATTCCTCCTCGATTGGTAAATTTGAGGTTTAGGAAAGCGAGCTTCACTTTTGAAACAAGCGATATATCACAACTGTAGAAAAGCAGTCAAAATGAATACGGGGCCAGCCTACTGTATGGCCGACAGCACTATATCACAAAATTTCTTCACTCTCCCTCAGCTCTTCTCCTCACTTGCGCAAAATCACTCAACACCTTATTCAATCCCTCTCTGCGCATGCAGTTCTCAAATTTCCAACTTCCCGCCAAAGCATCCAATTCATTTTCATCCAGCCCTCTAAAAAGCTCCGCAAACTCATCCGAAAAACTTTTCACTGCGTATGTTTGTACTACTCCTCTCAAAATCTGTCTTTGAATGCCCCATGTTGTCGGATATTCTTCTTTGGCCTTTGGAGCATTTTCTTCGATCCACTTTACGAGCGGATCTAATGCTTTATCTAACGATTCGGAAGCAGGGGGCCCCCATAGATCGAGCTGGAGAGCGCGTTTCTTTTCAACGAAGGAGGATATGAGGGAGTTATATGGGGAGGAGGGAGATGTGGTTACCATGCCTTGGAGTCCGAGATCTTTGTAGAGCCAGATACTCCAGGGGATTTGGTATTTATCGTAGATTTGTAGTTGGGCGCCCAGGAGAGAGTAGCGCTGGGCGTTTATTTCCGAGGCGTTGGGCTCGAGAGATGGGTCGGCGTAGACGGGACCGAATTCGCCGTTCCAGCTGGGAACGGAGTGGGTATGCATGAATTTGCATTTACGTAGGAAACTCGATTCGAGTTGCTCGATTTGGGCGGGGGAATTGGTGAAGGGGGTGCCGGTCGGGAAACCCATGGATGAGTAGTCGTGTAGTGAGTAGGCGCAGTTGGGAAGGATGGTGGTGAAGTGTTTCCATTCCATGGCGAAGGTATTTCCGTCTAGCCAGAGAATGTGGTTGGGGTCTATTTGGCGAATTTCGGATTCGAAACGGGTGTAGAATTCTGGGAGACGATGATGTTGGGGATCGCAGGGCTCGTTGATGGGGTTATAACCTGCTACCCATGGGTTATCGCGGTAGCGGGCGGCGATTTGCGACCACAACCATATTGTACGATCTTGATGATCTTTATGGTCCCAGAAAGAGGCATAGTTTGATGGATTATCGGAATGCCATTCTGGGTTTTGCGAGCCAGGGACAGTATGCATGTCGAGGATTGTATAGATTTTATGTTTGGCGCACTATTTGTGTTAATATATGTAGACATAGAGGTTCGAGATATACTTACAAGATCAACAACACGATCCAGATGTTTGAACCCACTTTCTTTCAAAACTCTAGGATTCATGTCATCTTCGAAATGACGATAATTGAATGGCAAACGTAGACAATTCAAACCCAGGCTAGCAAAAAATTTGGCATCTTCTTCCATGAAGAAATACTCTAGGAATTTATCAAAGAAGAACTCGTATTTCTCCTTGCCCAGGACTTTTAACATGGCAGCTCGATGCTGATGTTCTTGGGCTGGAAAACCGGTGATGAAGTTCTCCATGTTCATCCATCCTCCTAGACCCGCCCCACGAAGGATGACTGATTTACCAGAGTTGTCGACGATTTGGTCGCCTTTGACGCGAAGGATGCCGTTAGACATGTTGTAAATGGGAGAGAAGCAGCTTGGTAACTTGTACGACTATAATAAGAGTGCCAACAAAAAGTTCCCTACTGCAAGAACTTTCAGTCATAAGAATAAAGAGAAAGTTCGCACGTCTCGAAGCTCAAATTTATATGGTTATACGTTTTATGTAATTGAAGACAAGATCTTTGCATTTAGGCTGATATTCAAAGTTGTAGATATTGCTATTCCTGTATAACCCCACCTATGTTCCCCCACGTTTCTTCCATTTTATCCGAACCAAGAGTAGAATTAGATCAACGACACAACGTTTCAAGCGTGCCAATCAGACCACTAGATCTTGAAATTGAAGCACTTGCTCAAAGTAAAGAATTGTTGCTGGGTCAAGTGGTGAGGTGGGATATATATTTCGGGTGAGCGGTTGTAGGCTCGGGTATACATGGAATTCGGAAGGACTTCAGGACGCAATAGATTAATATCTAAAGCTTGCCGAGAGATTCCCTGGCTCGCCTGGATTGTGTTTGAGCACCTGGGTATTGTAATCTAGATGAAACCTGAACTTTCGTGATGATACCATGTCATCCACCTTGGAGATTTGGTCTGATTATAGAGAAAGTAAGCTCATTCCCAACTATGGGAAGTATGTGACTCTGTAGAAGACAGAGGATGTGATGAGTTTGTAAGTTAGAAGGCCAAGCCTCTTGACCTAGCCACTCTCAATGAATGAATGCTTTTCGAGTAGCAAAACATCATTAACCTGCACACAAAGATAAAACTATGCTCTGAATCCAGGTCCAACACAACGCACCTGTGCGTATAATATCAGAACGCATATGTAATCATGTTGAAAATAGTCTGCCTCCACGGCAGTGGCCCCCGGAGGGCCAGCGGAGCGTCATCTCAATCGATTGATGATGACGACAAGCTCTCAAGCTCTCAAAGTCTCATAGCTCTCTACTCTGTATATCCAAAGACATTGCTTCCTTGTACACATTCTCTTGCGATTCTCCGAAAATAACCCAACATCTTTCAAATGCCGACCTCGGTCCACTATCCACACGTGACACATCAAAATCATGCGGCCTTTCCTATCTAGGTTTAGTTTCAACGATCGGGAACCAGCCGGAAACCTTGGTCAACACAAACAACAGCTTGTATGAAATAACCTATTACCGGCACACGAAAAGATTCCTCTCCACCGAAAGTCTTTTTTGTCCCTCATCAAATATTTAATCCACACCAACATTCTTTCTTCCTTTCTCCTTTCCCACCCCCTCATCAAATAATAATATATTTCACATCATGTTCGCCGCAAGAAGAGCATTGACTGGAGCAGTCCAAACCAGAGCTTTCTCTGCTTCTGCTAGAGATGTAAGATCATGTTTTCTCGTCTGATGTTTTTGGTTGAACTCATTGGTTTGGCTTCGTCATTTTGTGAATCCCAACTAATTTTATATACAATACAGCTCTCCAAGGTTACCGTCCTCGGTGCTGCTGGAGGAATTGGACAACCATTGTCCCTTCTCCTCAAGTTGAACCCCCGCGTCACTGATTTGGCTTTGTACGATATCCGTGGAGGTCCAGGTTCGTCGAAATTTCTTGAATATATATTGTCAAGGAGATAAAGTCAAGAAGAAGGGAATTTGGATGTACGGTTACGCTAACAGGATGTTCAATTGGATAAATAGGTGTCGCAGCTGATATTTCCCACATCAACACCAAGTCCAAGGTTACCGGATATGAGCCAACACCATCTGGTCTCGCCTCTGCTCTCAAAGATGCCGAAATCGTCTTGATCCCAGCTGGTGTTCCACGTAAACCTGGTATGACTCGTGATGATCTCTTCAACACCAACGCATCCATTGTTCGCGATCTCGCAAAGGCTGCTGCTGAGTCTGCACCAAACGCCAACATCCTCGTTATCTCCAACCCAGTTAACTCTACTGTCCCAATTGTTGCCGAGATCTTCAAGGCCAAGGGAGTTTACAACCCAAAGAGACTTTTCGGTGTTACCACTTTGGATGTTGTTAGAGCTAGCAGATTCGTTAGTGAGATCAAGAAGTCCGACCCAGCCGATGAAAACATTGTCGTTGTTGGTGGACACTCTGGTGTTACCATTGTTCCTCTTTTCTCTCAATCTTCCCACCCAGATCTCGTCGGTAACGAGAACCTTCTCAAGCGTGTTCAATTCGGTGGTGATGAAGTTGTTCAAGCTAAGGACGGTGCTGGATCCGCTACCCTCTCCATGGCTATGGCTGGTGCCCGTATGGCCGAATCTTTGTTGAAGGCTTCCCAAGGAGAGACTGGTGTTGTTGAGCCAACTTTCGTTGACAGCCCATTGTACAAGGATCAAGGTGTTGATTTCTTCGCCAGCAAGGTTGAGTTGGGACCAGATGGTGTTCAAAAGATCTTGGAAGTCGGAAAGGTTGACGCTGCTGAGGAGAAGTTGTTGGAGGCATGCTTGGCCGATTTGAAGAAGGTTCGTTTTCCTATGATATTGAGGTTTATCTCTATTCAATTTAGATTTAATACTAACACATCTTTCTCACAGAACATCGCAAAGGGTGTTGAATTTGTCGCCAAGAACCCAGGAAACTAAACTCAAAAAATCTCTCTCAAAATCCCTATGATCAAATAGTCCGAAAATACCCACCTTTCAACAGACCTCAATTCCTGAAATGAATTTTACAATGAATCTTTGAGATCCTCAATTCCAATGCAATACTAGCGCTTTATTTTCGCATGTATGTATACATCTGATGAAATGAAGGAATATAGATAAGATTTCAATTTTTTTGATGAATTCGATGGAGATATGTTTGGTCATGATTCTAGCTATTTGATTTCAGGCAATGTATTATGCAAGCGATGTAAAATTATAATGAAATGACTCCTCTATTATTGATATGTTTGTTGGTTTTTGTATTTGGATGTGAGTTTCTGATCAAAAGAGAGTATGCTATTATGTTCTCTACGATCTCGATCCATTCCATTCCATCCCGTCCATCCACCCGTTCCGAATCCCGCCTTAACCGACTTCTTCTCTTCCACTGCTTCCCTCCCCTCCATCCACCCATTCTCCATTCTCCATTCTCCACTGTCCATCCATACCATACCTTTTAGCATCATGGTGGGTGGGTAGGTGGGGTCAAAAGGGGGGGAAGACCACGGGAAAGAGGGGGCGAGGGAAATTGATTGTGGATGTTTTTGGTGGGGTTGGTTACTGAGCTGAGCTGAGCTGAGTCTAGATGAGGGAGTGAGTGAGTGAGTGAGTGAGTGAGGTGGAGGGAGGGATGGAGGGGAGCGAATGAAGATTGAAGATTGAAAATTGAAGAAGGAAGGAAGCACAATGGCTGCGACTGATGAACGATATGGATTTTAAGATAAGATTTAGAAATTGGTAATTCGAATTGGAATAGGAATGGGAGTGGGTATTGGAGTGGGATTTGGAATGAAATGAGTTTCCTAGATCGAGGAGGATGATAAATTGAAAAGATAGATAGATAGATATATATGATTAGTTATTCAGATGGTTTATATACATATATTATTTATATCTTTATATATACTATAAGTTTATTTACTTCATACTTTATATATAGTTAGATAGAATTAGTTAGTTATCTCTACCTAGGTATACAAGCGAAAAAAACAGACGAAAATTGATCTTTTTAAACCTATCGTCAAATGATACAAATTGGTCTCGATAGATATCGAAGTCTGAAAAGGATGTATGGGTTATTCGGAGAACAATGCTACTTGACAATCACTAGAAGATATTTTATACCTTCGAAATACGATTAACGAATATTAGAAGGAAAGATCTAAAAAAACCAAGCCTACAAAGACGAAAATTACAAGTGCATAGCTTATTCGGAAAAACCAGAGGAGCGGCGAGGTTACTAAAGGATTGGATGAAGATACTGATATAGGAAAGTGATGCGATTTGACCTTCGTGCCTTGCATAGAAGCTCGGCCTAAAGAAGAGGGGATATACTCTCACGAAATCAATGTATAAACGTTCCCCATGGTGTATGCGAAGAACAAATAATATTAAATATTCGACGATATATTAGTTTGTTGTGCTTACCTTCCGACACCGCATTCCCGCTAGCACATACTTGTATTTAGATTCCCAGATCCTTATAATCCTCTTGCATCTTTGCGAATAACTTATTAAATATAAGTTCTATTACCGCAGTATTGTAGTTCCCTGGCATTAAGCCACATTATTGTATTCCCAATATCCTAATTTCAGAATTCTACCATCATCAAAGCTTTCAAGAGCTCGCTATAACATATCATATCATAGCCTTACACTTTAAAGACTTCGACCCGCCTGTCCAGATAGGTCGTTCTGAATTGGCCTTCCGCATACGTCTCCTCACTTCCTCGAAGGAAAGGGGTGAGATATCAGCAATTTCGCCCAGGTTCTCGACTTCCGCACAATCAGGCATCTTGAATCTAAGCGCTTGTGACTTCCTGGTCTTTTCTGCAGCAAACTCCTTACACACCTTGGACCATTCCTCAAAACAATGTTTTGATTGTGGAAGAGCGCCTAAAATGATCATAAACTCATGTGGCATATTCTCATATTCAATCCATTGCACATCAACTCCACATCGTGCTGCCTGACTAGCTACAACTCTGTTACCATCGATACCTCGCTCACGAGAACCCAGTGCAAACCACATTGGTGGAGCTCCAGTCCAGTCGCGCACCGCAGCAGGAGATACGAGTTCGTGATCTAGCGTTGCAGCAAAGCAGTAAAGATGTTCTCGTGGTGGATTTGAAGGCCAAATCTTATCGGTAGGATGACCTTGTAAAAGTGCAGGTTGCAGAATACCGAGTATATCATCCGCGTTCGGGTCTCGCCATGAAGGCATGACATCGCATGGATCAGCCCATCCACTGCACATTGCTAAGCCGGCGGGCAGTGGTAAAGCTATTTCGCGTCCATGAAATAAGAGTGTTTTCTTCCAAGGATTATTTCCGTACTCGAGAAGGAATTTGGTTAATGCCAGACAAAGATTTGCACCGGCACTGTTGCCAGCGAGAACGATACGATTTGCTGGAACAGCAGAATGTGTTGATCCTGGTGGTGGATACAAAAGGCTTACATATCCAGTCAAGATGTCAAGAAGAGGACCAGGAAATGTGCTCTGGGGGGTAAGTCGGTAGGCAAAGGATGCGACTCGCGCTTTGGTTAATCGAGCAAGACGACTGGTGGCGGAACGATATTCGGCAGGGCAGCTGAAGCTGTTGAAGAGAACATGTGAGTATATAAACTGTATTGAGTTTCGAATTACTAACTATAGACCCCCTCCATGTACAAACAGAATCGTAAAATCATTCTCGCATTCATTCTCCAGCGCCTTCAATTTGTCCACTTCGGGTATATCAGGCTCTGCAGCTTTGGCATCCGCACCAGCACGATTTCCAACAAATTCAAGGCGAACATCAAGTAGAGGAGTTTCGATGGCAGGAGTGATATTGTGATAAGGCTCCTTAAGATGTTCGCAGATATGATATAGGGCATCGCGCAAGTCGTTTTCGGGAGGAGAGGGGAAGACGGCTCGACTGATCCAAACCGCTCTCCTTGCTGGAGGATCGCGTGAACTTGCCTTCTGCATCTGAGACAATGGGATCCATGGTAAAGAGCGGTATTTCTTACAGGTAGCATCGACAATCTTGCATTGTTCTTCGATGGTTGTCATGATGTGATGTTGACTTGGTGGGGTGACGTGGAATGTTTTGTGATTTGATTCTGAATTTAAAGAGTGGTAGAAGAAAACGACTGATAGAGCAAACGAGTACGGTATAGATAGTACAGTATGGATACAGAACCTTTTGGTAAGACTTACATACGGTTATTCATATTCACTGCATGTGCCGAGATGACCAAAGACATCTGGAAGCTTGTGCAAACAGTTGCATACCGAGGTTGTAGGTGGCACAACAGCCAAGGATGATATTGTAGTGGTGTTACATTAACAACGAGAATTCAATTCGAAGATATAAAATATACCTACGAGTATCATCTTGTGCCTGATGAGGTAGCGGGGGTTTTACACTACTTTAAAAAGCGGGGTTCACCGGGTGGTTCCAAGGTTAGTGCAACCACTCTAGCCACTTTTAAGCCACACCCTTTTAGCCACACACACCAATTCCGTGGACCTCGCATCTTATTATCACCTGACGCCAACGAACGCCATTGTTCATTCTTCTCTTTTACATGAAAATACTCTACCACCAGATACAGATACTCCAAGTCAATCTTGATTTCGCCTTCCTCTCGCCGCCTCCTTCTTTTCCTGTGCCTCCCTCTACATGTAAGCTTCGGAAATCTCTATCAATATTTGAATACCACGGATCATTACGCGACAGGCCGCCCTTTTCATCGATCTTTTCTCTTTAAAATTCTCCTTTGGAGAATCTTCAGCACTATCTGACAGAAGGGCACATCTTCCTGCCTCGGCGATCTTTAAAAGTTTTTCAGCTGCGTCCATACCTGCTCTACACCCGTCTTCATGAAAACCATGACCCATCCACGCCCCAGCGAAACTAACTGTCGAAACACCATTGATCAGATGCATACCCTTCAAAGCAAGCACACTGTTCGATGTGAATAGTGGGTGATAGTAAACGAATGATGCTCTTACACCTCGAGGTGTGTGAATTGGGTTCATGCTCACCAAAGCCCGCCCTGGACTACCAGATTCACCAGGCATGGGGATTCCTTGCAACCTGTTCATATCGAACGTGATTGAAATTTTTTCGATTCTTTCATCTCTGATCTTCTTTACCATCGAGAGTTCTTTTGAAAAAAGTCTCATTTTTTCAGTTACTCTTTTCAACGGTTTATAAGATGAGCTTTTCATAAGAACATTCCAGGATGCGTATGCAGTTTCTCGACGAGGCATTAACTAGACTTTGAATCAAATAATGTTCATTTCAGAAGTATCTGGATCTTACTGTCTCATCAGAATGAAGATAACAAATGTTTCTGGTGGTCTTGAAATGCCTCAGAATTTCCTTCTCGTTTGGAGTCGCGCCGTCGCCAAGGATCTGCAGTGCCTGATTTGCATGAACAGCCAGAACGACCTGGTCGAAAATTTTAGTAGACCCGTCCTTTGTAAGCAGAGTGACTTTATCATTCATATCGCGCTTTATGCTTGTAACTGGCATTTCCAAGTGAATATGTTGATTAGGCTTCAAAGTTTTTAAAAATGCGTCAATATAGGTTTTGGAACCATTCTTAAAAGCACGCCAGCGACATGTTTTGGAAATGGTATCGAGAAGTTCATGCTCGTCCCTATAAAATTTCAGTGTTTGAATAGAGCATTTCTCTTGGAATCGCTTACATGAAGCGAATGAATGTGGTCGCTGGGAAGTCCCTCTCAAATTCGCTTGGGTCAATACATCTTGGGGCAGCGCCCATCGGTATCAAGTAGTACTTTTTGAATTGTTCAGAGTACGATTTGCGATCAAGATATTGGCCGATGGACTCGAGGTTTTGGCTGTGTGTGCATTTTGCGTCGTGCTTTTGACGCAGGCAAGTTACTTTCATACATTGTTGGGCAACTGATTGTTCGTGAAATATATCCGTCGCACAGTAGTGGAATCGAATTATGTCGAATATAAGTCGCCAAAACCAAAGACTGAAGATATTATAAAAACTACCGAGGAAGCCCATGAATGAGACACTTGTCCATTCGAATGAACCCCCATCGGCAGATACTCCGAACGACATGTCAGTTGGCACTGTTTCAACATTCAGCGCCTTCAAGAAAGCATTAAACTTTGCTGGGAAATTGTTAGCCTCACACAACATGAATATATGCAGCACCTCATGATCAACTCACGATAGAATCCCTCATGCATCACAACAAATCCAGTATCTACTGACGCCGAATACCCATTTCCTTCGAATTTGGATGAATTGGCATGCCCTCCTAGTCTGGAATCGGCATCATATAGATGAACGTCCCAATCTGTATCTCTCAATTTCCACATGCAGGACATGCCAGAGATGCCACCGCCAACTATAGCTATTCTCTTCTTCCCAGAGTGCTCCGTCATTGTACCAGAAATTCAGATTTAAGTTCAAGTTCAAAAAAGGATTTGCCACTCAAAGGCAACGTGAAGACAGCGTGTGACATTTGTTCACTTCATTAATTTGAAAGAAGAGAAAAAACATGAACGAGAGATTTCTTCACAGAAGAACAAACGAATTCATGATGGAAGAGAGAGAAAGTTAAAATTATAATCACCGAACCAACATTCACCGATTTGCTCCTTGGACATCGCCCAGCAATAGAGATTCTTCACTATTGTGGCACATTATATATTGGCAGAATCCTATTCGATCAAATAAGAATTATGATTGGATCAGATCATTTATGAAGTACAAAACCTATTATTCTGAATATCGATTTGTTTCTTGAATACTATTAACTAATACGCATTCTTCATTAATATAATATATAACAAATTCTTATATTGACAAATACCCTATTCAGTCAGATACGAATGATCATCCTCGGACATCACCAATAGATATTCTTCACTACTGCAGCATATAACCGATTCTTACTTCGATGTATCTGAATGTAAGCTGACTCCACAATAATTCTGTATGCACGTTGAAGTTTCTATCACTTTTCTTATTCAAATCCCTACCATAGGCCAATTTACTGCTTACAGTGTACGACATGGATTCTTACTACATCAATGTCCGGTAGTGTCACCCGCCTTGTATCATCATCCCCATTAACTTCCGGCAGTGAGATCCACCTTGTACCATCAGGTATGCCACATCTACGAGATTCAACCCTACTCTCCGACCTTACAACCCATACAATCCCCCGCTTCCTTCAGAACACCAATACCTTTCACAACGGGCTGACATGTATGATGGGTGTAGTATTCAGCAAGGAAACTACCCCTTTCTATTAATGCATGAACTAACAATATGTCGTCAGCTCAAGGCTTGAGAAATACAATGTCGCTCAGCTCTTATCCCAGCCTGCCCGCAAACAAGCCCATTTTACAACGCCTCTCTCAGCCCTGTCATATTCTTTCTCTTTTTTTCTCTAGTCTTTGGGCTGACTTGACTTCGCAATCTGACAAGATATCTCTTTTCCAACTACCGTCCTTACTAAAATTTAACCTCACAATGTCGGAACTCAAATTCGACCCCAGCATCCCCAACGAGAGCCGCAGTGGTGAATTGTATGCGGTGATTATCGTCGTCACGATACTCTTGATCATAACGACGACGGCAAGAGTAATCACGAAATGGAAGCATGGATTGAAATATACTTGGGATGACTATTTGATTGTTCTTGGGACAGTAAATAACCCCGACCCAAACCCACTTCCTCACACCACCAAAATGATATTGATGTACAATAAATTGTCCTCCATTACTTTCATTGTTCATCCCAACACCAAACAATATAGATATGAAACAGTACGGATGTACAAGCAACTAACATTTCAATCCTCACAGCTCCTCAATCTCGTAGGCAACGCCTTCGACCTTGTAGCCATAAAGTCTGGTTTCGGTCGTCACGAACAATATCTTCACCCCCTCGCCCTCATTACCTGCGCAAAATACTCTCAACTCGCCGTTTGTATCGCCGGTCTGGCTATCTGCGCTATCAAATGCAGTGTTTGTTTCTTTCTACTCAATATCATCAAAGACACACATCGTCGATTTACAATAAGTATCTATATCTTACTAGCCTTTACAGTGGTATCTAGTTTTATAAGTCTGTTGCTTTGGGGACTTCAAGCTACTCCGATCGAAAAGCTTTGGGATCCGAGAGTCAAGGGAACGAAGGTTTCAGGGAAGAGGTTTTTGGCTGTGGTTTATATTTTCTATGGTATGCTTCCTTCCTACCTTGACAATGAGGAAGTAACTAACTAACTGATGGGAATAGCGTTCGGTGTGTTTACGGATGTTGTCTATTCGTTATCACCCATCTATTTCCTCTGGAACATCAAGATCGATCTCCAAAGAAAACTCACCATCCTCGCTCTTACAGGCTCGGGTCTCCTGTAACTTTCCCCCTCTTCTCATCCCCCCCACTTTCATCACCTTCTCTCCATTTCTCCTCAGTAAATGCTGACAAACCAAAGTCTAACAATAGTAGCTTTTCTTAATATTCACTACGCGCCCGCTTTCCTTGCTCCAGACGCTACATGGGCTCTCGTTAATGAATTCATCTGTGATATCATTGAACGCAATATGTCAGGTGTTATTGTTAATTTACCAGCGCTGTGGCATTTGGTGCATAGGAATAAACCGGTGGTGTCGAGTTTTGAGGGGTCGGTGGGGTATTATGGGAGGAGTGGTGGGTTGGGTAATAGTGGGATTGGTAGCGGACTAGGTATGGGAATTGGGGGGAAGAGGGAAAGGGAAATGCTTGGGAGTATGGATGAGGAGAGAGAGATAATTTGGAAGAATGCGGATGGTGAGAGGGTGGTGGTGAAGGAGGATAGGAGGTTTGGGAATGGGAATGGGAATGGGGACGGGGAGAGTGGGAATAGTGTTCCTCTTAGAACGAGGACCGATATACCTATTAGGGAGGGGGTGTAAGGATGGGATAGGATTTGTTTGGGTTTGGGTTTGGGTTTGGGTTTGAGGTTAAGTGGATTGTTTGCTCGGCGGGATATGGATTACGTATTGGGAATAGGAAGTAAGGAAGCTTAAATAGTAGGCCTGGAACGGAAAATTTGGTTTATTGGTGTACTATGGGATAGGAATACGGTTTTCGTAGGACCGCAAAGGAAATCTGGAAATTGATGAAAAGTAAAAGTATCTGCGCAAAATAGCTTCTTTGGATTGTGGTTTGGTGGAGAAATATTCTCTCGTCCCATCTTTAGCCATTTATATGTTTTTGTTGCATATCTTCACATGGGCAGCTTTGATTTTTACAATGTATATGTGACAATGATGGTTGTTGTATTTGGGATGGGATGGAAATAGTGAGGTCTGGGCATTAGAAAGCTGCAAGAATGTAATTTAATCCGCAAAGAAATTAGAAGATCATACAGTACATGTTTCTTCTATCTAACCCCATAAGCTCCAAGCCCCCATCCCCCACCCCCTCCCACAACAAAAACCCCTATCACAAGTAAACCGACAAATTTTAATAATCCCTCGTCACCATCCGCAAATATCTTCGCAAGCAGAAACGTTAATTCAGCTTTTCTATATTCCTTCTGCTCTCTTTCTGAGAGATGGGAGGATACAAATAAGGATAAGAAACTCTCTCCTTCCCATTCTTCTTTTTTCTCTTCCCTTTCCTCATCTTTCCCTATCGATGTATGAGGAGTAGATATTCCCGAAGTTTGAGAAATGGGATAGTTAGGATTGGGATACCATCCTTTTCCTTTATCTACTTTTTTTCTCAAGTGTTTGTTAACACCCTCTAGACTCCACCATTTTTCCTTTCTGTTCCTCTCACCCTTTTCACCACACGCAAATTTATTCAGAACCCCATAAACCCTCTTCCCATCTTTCGACTTTATCAATCGATTCTCTTCTCGTTCTGGAAATAGACTTTCTTTGAGAGCGAGTTGGAGAGATGGGTAAAATAGGAGGGTGGAATAAAAGGAGGGCGTTAGGATATGAAGATCTAGGGTTTGAGGAGGAGTGGATGGAGAAGAGGTGGGGAATTGGGAAGGGGGAGGGCAATGGATGGGGAGGATGTGTGTGGAGAGTTGAGTGGTGAGGGATGTGTAGTGGAGTGTGAGAGAGGGGAAAGATGGGGAGGGGTTGGTGTTGTGGGGTGAAAGGTTGGGAGGGGAGATGATGTGGAGGAGGTAATGGTGGAAGGTTTTGGCGAAGATACTGGGATGTTGTTAGTGGGGAGAGGAAAAGGGGGAAGGGGGAATTGATGGGGACAAACATTTCCGAAGAAGTAGCATGACGAGCAACATTTGAAGAGCGTGGCTCGGGTCGGTACCAAATACTTAGATTTTTTTGATAGGCTAGTTTTATTGCTTGGTGCAGGATACGTGGATCTACATATTCAAATTATTGTTCGAATTCCGAGTATGCGGGTAGGAAGGGAAGTGGGAGGGAGTGAATAATGGAGAGAGAGGATGGGCGGATAGCGGGAAGAAAGATGAAACACAAAAAGAAGATAAACGTACAAGTACACCAACCCACCCACCACCATCTACACATAAACCCCCAAAAGGAGAAGAAGGATTGTTTTGAAGGATCGAGGGGTATTCCAGTTGAGTGAAGATGAGCAAAGAGCTTTGGATGGTTAGAGGAGGAAGATAGCGTTACTTTTATGTCGATTGAGTGTGGATTAAGTGACGCGTTTTTGAAGATTTGGTTGGGTGTTTGAGAGGGGTGAAAAGAGGGAGAATGTGATTCTACGGTATAGGTACCGCGTCGAGATGAGAAGGGGGAGACGTGCATATCTTTTTTGAAGATGTGTTTGAGTAACTCGGTCTGTGGTTGAGGAGAATCGGCATTCGAGCCATGGGAGGAGGGGGTGGAGGAGGAATAGGATGTATGGGGAAGAAAATACATAATTCGCTCATCAAAAGTGTTATTCACTTCGGCAACCATAGCTTTCAACACCATTAACGAATCGTACAAGTACCAAAAAGAAGACGGATTGAACATATGGCCTAGAATTCTCGGTGTGGTAACCAAATACACAAACGGATAATCGTTTGGATTTTTGCCCTATCGTTACATATACATCAGACTTCATTCGCTCTCTCTCTCTCTCTCTCTCTCTCTCTTTCAAAAGCAAAAAATGGAAGTTTAGAGCGGAAGTACCTCGGATTCCAACCACAGATCGAATTTCCTTCTGAGACCAATATCGTTGTGTCCTCGCTGTAGATGATCTCGAGATTCTACGCTCAACCATCCTCTTTTGCGAATTCCGCAAATGTCGACGGATAATATCCAATGTGGTTGGGGTGTATATAGCATGGGTGTGCCGAGGAGAAGAAAACTGTAGCTGAAGGAGTGGTGGACGGGGGTAAGACGGGTGTGGGATATGAGGGCGGGGAATATGAGGGGTTTTTGGAGGAGTGAATTTGGGTTTTGGGGGGATGAAATTGCGTATGCAGAAGTGGCTTTTGGAAGCTGGGGAATGAGGTAGGTGAATATGAAGAGGAGGAAGACGAGGGAGAATAGCGAAATTGCAAAGAGGGAAATGAGTTCCATGATAGCCGTTTCGGTGTAAAGGTTTTTGGTGAAGTGGAGTGAAGTGAAGTGGAGGAAAGAAGATAAAAAGTATAAGTTGAGGTTCTGTGGCTTCCAAACAAAATCTCTTCTTGAGAGTAAGATTTAGATTCCAACAAAAATCTATAGAAAGCTCATGTGTATAATACTTTCTTCTTCTACAATGAATTTCTAATGCTACATCCACTTCTTAGCCTTGCTAGAGTGTATAAACATGTCCCTCAATCCCCAAAATGTATCTATATATCCATGTGAGATCTTGCTTCTTTCATCTTTTCCTCGCAATAGACGAAAACTCTTTCTCGTCTAAATCCTATCACGTGCCGAAAACATAACGTCGTAAGTCTAATACTCGCTGACTGCATACATACATACATACTTGCATCAACTTCCTGTACGTCCCGAATTCCCCGCCTCTTCCTCGTAATTCGCAATCCCCCCTGCAAGAAGCCGCACCATGCATGGCCCGTAGCTGTGCCGCAAAAACCAGCTTGTTTGACAGAAAGAAGTACCACTACGGCGTTCTGATTATTTGTGAGACGCTACTTCGCCTGATGAAAGCCCAAGCCTACCAATAGGAAGAACTTTCAAGAAGGGTAACACGCTGTAACACCTCGCATCAAAGAACCCCCAAAGTGATTCTTCCTGTCTTACTGCATATATTTTGAAACACACCGTTTACGCAGCCGCCGGCTTTCGGGCGTAAGTTGGGGTAGAACTCCTTAAGCCCACCAACTCAATCTGTCGGTGATGATGTTTTTCTTTCTGGTTCCCTCGACGCCCCTAAAGCACCTAAAGCATGCATGTACTTTTGCCCCTTACAATGCCAAATTCCTACCAATAACTCTCATCCTGCGCCCATTCCAACCCAAAAATACCATTACCAATAAACCTAAAGCTAAAGCTCACCTAACCTATTAAATTTTGGGAGGACTGCGCCACAAATCTCTTTCCTTATTTGACCTACTTGTAATTGAGTTTGCTTTCAGCTGGGCATCAACATTGAAACATAATCATTACACAATCTAGCAACGAGAAAGAAAGATGGCATCTCAAAAGCTTTTCGATTCGTATCCTGCTTTTCCAAATCATGTTCCGATTGCAGACGTGGAGAAGATCTCTTTGGCCAAATTGACGGCTGGAGACCCAACGGAGGTTTCGCGTATGTTTAGCGCATGCACGGAACTGGGATTCTTATTGCTCGATTTGAAGAACGATGAGGTAGGAATGAGTTTGCAGAAAGATGTTGATGTCATGTTGGGTCTTGCGAAGGAGGTTTTTGATCTGCCTTACGAGGAGAAAACTGTGTACAATCAAGTTCCTCCTCAAAAGCTTGTTGGGTGCGTTCCTCATTTCTTCCAGCTCTTTTCTTGAAGCCTCCTAGATGAAAAGATTACGAGGTGAATATGGGGTAGATTCGATGTGCATATGTGCTAAAGTGTGGAAATAGTTACAAGGCAGCAGGTGTGATGAAGACGGAAACGGGACAACCTGATCAATGCGAATTCTTTAGTATCAGTCGAGATGGTGCGTATACCTACAGTGCAAGCTTTTCATACCTCGAATATATGGTAGATGCTAACAGTGCATCTTGTAATACAGAAATGCTAGGCACCGAGCCCATGGGCGAAAACCCACGAGTCATCCACGAAAACCGCACCCACATAATCTCGTATCTCAACCACATAAACAGCATCGCACAGATTCTACTTGCGTCTATCGACTCGCAGCTCGGTCTACCTGATGGCACATTGTCATCCCTGCAGAAAATCAATATGCCATCCGGTACAGTAATTCGTATGATTCGATATGCTTCACAAGATCCCTCCGCTCGTCGCACCGCTCTACTTCCCCACACAGACTACGGTTCCATCACTCTACTCACCAGCATTCTGGGGGGTCTCCAAATCCTCCCTCGCGACAGCGACGAACACGACTGGCGCTACATCAAGCCGGAACCCGGCTGTCTAATCGTAAACTTGGGCGACGCAATGGTCGAATGGACGGGCGGAGTCTTACGCTCGAATCTTCATCGCGTAACGTATGCACCTGGCGCCCAAGCAGAATGTACAAGACATAGTATAGCGTATTTAGTTAGACCCGAACGTGATGTATCGATGAAGAGAATTGTGGGCGGAAGAATTCCTGAGGTAAGACATGATGAAGAGGAATTGGATATTACGGCTATGGAGTGGGAAATGAAAAAGGCAATGGCGTTAAAGGCTGGGGCTGATATTGCTAAGACTCGGGGCGGAAGGCCTATGAAACCTTTGTCTGTGTAATGCAAAACGGTCGCTATTTAGGCGTGTAAGACTCAAAGGAAAATCTCTGCTTTAGTAAGTCAGCATAGTTACATGAATATATTCTAAACAACAAGTCTTTTTTCATGTGCTTGTATTTGCATCAGGCAAACAATAAAAGAAATGATAATGTAAAGAGATTTTAATTCAAATGGGCGATCTCGACCAAAAATGCCACTTAACCTTATGTTGATCTTCGGCTAATCATTGCAGCTACAATACCAGGCTCCTTCGGTTGATGCAAGTCACCAGCGCATGAGTGAGGCACATAATGTTCTTATGAACAAGATGCATGCATAATATTACACAACAAGGAGCTCGTGTCAGCAGGTACCATGAATGGAAGCCTGATTTTACCTTTGCGATATAGATTTTGAGCCTCATAAATGAGCTGATTCGATCATCGTTCGTTTTTGGACGATATCACCTTGGTGGAACTCAAATGGGCAATAGAATGTATGATAAGGCGTATAAAGATACTATGGAGGATTCAACAGGACAAGACAGTGGGAATGGATTACAGCACCGCCGTTCATATGCAGATATGATGTCTTGGCTGGGTTGTTAAATAGGGCGCCTTGCCAGAGTTGGTGAAGCGACGATGGTGTAGGTATCCACAAAGGGGCGTAGTATGTGTATATATTCCATTTGCTTTCCCGTGACCAGCATACTGGCATCTTTTTGAAGTATCGTACTTCGACATCTACATACAAACGAAACGTTAAACTTCCTTATAATGTCGCAGGGTGAGCAAATCAAAGATTCAGACCATGTCGCTGTCGCTACCAGCGACAAACAAGCCTCATCTGACGCCCTGGAATCTTCAGATGTAGAGAAGAAAGCTTCCTTCACAACTCCAGATGGCATCGTTGAAGATACGTCTTTTGTATACATGACAGGATGGAGACTCCACTTGATGCGACTATGGTAAGTCAACTTATACAATGGGAGTTTGAGAACGATGAATGCTAATGTGGGCGACCCGACTGTAGTTGTGCAATCTCCATGTTTCTCGTTAATATGGAAGTCTCCATCATTGGCACATCCCTAATATCTATCACCAATGATCTGCGAGGTTTCAGCCAAATGGGCTGGGTTGTAACGGGCTATCTTATTACCTATACCGGTATTTTCATCTTCCTTCCTTTCTTTCCATGATCCCACTTGCAAATTCCTCGTTTTCAATATCGACGAGACGCAGTGATCCAAACGCAAACGTACTAACGGTGCAAACAAAAAAGGCTTACTCATAATCTGGGCCAAGATTAGCGACATCTACGGGCGCAAGCCCGCGATGATAATCTCCATGCTTATATTTACCGTCTTCTCCGGCGGATGTGGCGCTGCTCACACCATGATGCAATTGTAAGCTAGCCGCCGGCCACCTTTCCATGCCAGGTCTGACAAAGTATAGGATTGTATGCCGAGTATTCCAGGGTGTGGGAGCCGCTGGTGCGGTATCGTTAGCGCTAGTAGCCGCGTATGAAATGGTTCCGAAAGATAAATATCCGTCGCAAGCGGCTCTTATAGGGTCTGCAATTGCATTGGGGAGTCTAGTGGGGCCGTTGATTGGGGGAGGCGTCAGTGAACATTCGACTTGGAGATGGGTGTTTTTGATCAAGTGGGTACCTTTCTTTCCCAAATGCATCCTACAACACAGAAAATTAACTGACAAATCCATTAGTGTTCCTGTCGGTGTGGTATGCGCGGCTCTACTTTATATCTCTGTTCCTTCCAATTTTCCCTACCATGGTCGTCCTGTCCTTCCTCATCCTATCACAAATTCTCTCTCTCGTCTCGATATTTCGGGGGCATCTCTTCTCCTGGGCGCCACCGTCTTACTCGTAACAGTCCTTCTTGAAGCCGGTATAGAATTTGCCTGGAAATCCGGTACTGCGATTGCATTAATAATCTTATCTGGAATAATGTTCGTCGCATTCATGCTGAACGAAAAGGTAATGAGTAAGGAAAAAAGAACTCAGGAACCTGTATTTCCTTTCAGATTTTTATCGAATCGGCCTTGGATGGGGACCTTGCTGTACGTTATTTCCGTCTCTCTACCTCACCCTTCAGTAATCCAGAGACCCAAAAGTAGAAAGAAAAACGCTAACGAAAGCCACAGAATGTCATTCCTCTCCGGAGTCCCCTACAACATAATCGTAATCGACATACCCCAACGCTTCCAAGCCATCGATTCCATCTCGCCCTTCACATCCGGACTCCGACTCATCCCCTTCAATTTCTCCATCTCCCTCTCCTCCATTCTCGTCAACATCATTGCCAAACAACGTGTACCGCCCATCATCCTTCTCTTCATTGGTTCCATCATTCAACTTGTCGGCATGTCGCTCTTCTCCACCCTTCCCGAGAACGGTACGCTACCGAACACCATTTATGGGTGGGAAGTACTGACCGGTTTTGGTATGGGTTGGGTCATGGGCATTTGTTTGTTGTTGCCACCAGCGGTGGTCGAAGGTAGAGATCTGGGTACGTCATTACATCTTCCTCCCTTTCTCCCTTCACTCTTCTTCCATAACCTAATATGTGAAAATTAGCTATAAGCGGCGGATCTCTTCTCCAATTTCGCGTTCTAGGCGGCGTCCTCGGTCTCGCCATCTCCACGGCCATAATGAATAACCATCTCACCTCTCATCTCACCCCCTTACTCGGCGCCGAGCAACTCTCTTTACTACTACAATCTACACGCGAAATTGAAAACTTGTCGGAAGAGTTGAGGATAGAGACAGTGAAAGCGTTTGCATATGGATATAATATTCAGATGAAAGTTAATGTTGCGTTTTCGGTGGTGCAGGTTTTGATTGTGGGGGTGATATGGACGAGAAATGGAAAAGGTTGGAGGGGGCAGATTGAGGTGGTTGAGAAACAGATCCTGAAGGAATAATGTTGTTCTAACTCCTATATACCTGATATTAACGATTTATCTGATATCAACTCTAAATTAGGGTTTTCAGGGGTTTAATCATAATCAATTACATTTTTAGAATCTATAAAAAGTTTCCAACAAATAGCGTTTTTACTTTTGTAACGGAAATGATATTATATACTACGTGTATAGACTAAGTCGGGTACCCTACTTTCGGGCCACCCCCCTTTTGGGCCACTTTTTATACCTAAAATACACTAAAAATGGAATTTATAACTTTCTTATTTATGGATAGAATTTAATGAAAATTTGTACATATATAATTTAGATCGATTTAAGCTTAGTCTGAAATTTTCAGATTTTTAGGATTTTTTTGTATTGAGATCTAGAGCTTCAAAATATCGATTTTCAAATTTATATGAGAATCACATACAAATTAAAACTTTTTATAAAATCTTTAATAACTTTTTAACAACATTAATTAAAAGAAAACTATATATATTTTTGAGATATTTAAGCTTGAATCTATATAGAAATTCAAAAAAAAATTCAAAAAAATTAACAGATATAGAGATATAGTATACGGTGAGTTTAGAGTAGTATAAATAATCCCTGTCATTTTGAGGGTACCCTTATAAATATTTATTCATAAGAAATTTTTTATTTTTTCTGAATCTCTTATATTGAATATATTATAAATTTATAGTAAAATTTTATAGTTTATTTTTAGCAATTTTTATTAGAAAGTTATTAAAGATTTAATAAAAAACTTAAATTTGTATGTTATTCCCATACAAATTTAAAAATCGATATTTTGAAGCTCTAACTCTCAATACAGAAAAATCCTAAAAATCTAAAATTTTTAGAATAAGTTTAAATCGATCTAAATTATATATGTACAAATTTTCATTGAATCATATTGAATATTGATAGAGATATTAATAAGCCTAAAAAGTGATTTTTGGTGTAAAAGGGTGGCCCAAAAGGGGGGTGGCCCGAAAGTAGGGTACCCGACTTATATAATAATTAGAGATATTAAGATATAAAATATCTAACTCCGGAGCGAATTAATAAGAATAGGATCGATTATAGGATTAATCTTTGCTTTTATAATCGAAACCCGAAGATTACTTAATATATAATTCTATTTCTTTTTTATAAGAAAAGAGGAGTTTTATATACAATTTTATATATATCTCTATTATATTATTATGATTTAATTATTCTATTTTATTGTAATATGCTATCCTTCTATAAAATAACTTTTTTACTAGTATACTTTCTTATAAAGTTTTATTTTTAGAAATCTGTCTAATATTAATCAATATCTCGTTTAATCTTAATACTAGTTTATTAAAAATAATTTTTTAAGGGGTTTAAAGAAAATAAGATTAATTAGTATATCTTTTATCTAAATCGAACTTGATTTGTATTTGATATAAAAAAATTCGATTTTCTTAAGATTGTAAAACTAATCTTATATTGAAATTAAGACTATACTACTTAAAGATATCGGTTATACAAGTTATATAAACTACGCTACTAATATACTCAATTTAATAATATATTTTTAAAATCTTAAATTCTTTTATTAAAAACATTTAAATATTATATTTTCTAATTTCAATCTATAATAACTTTATCGAATAAAATCTCATTTAATTAAAAGTTCAATTAAATAATAATAAATGATTGATTATACTATTGATATAAATTTTAGATAATTCAAGCTCTTTTTAATTAAATTGAACATTTCAAAACGAAAATTCAAAAATAAAAGAAAATAGCTTAGAAATATGTTAATTTTCAGCCTTAAATATTCTATCTACCTCTAACTCTATAACTATTACTTTAGATTATTTATAAAATTAATATACTAATTCTTTTAATTGAAATATCAATTATTCTAGAAAGTTTTTTCAATTTAAAGATATGTTAATAAATCCAGAAAAAATTGAAGTTGAATCTCATTTTAATAAAATTGATAAGGTATAAAATTTAGCTTTTTTTTTTTTTTTTTTTTTGAAAACGAGTTATTAAATCGAGTATATGTACGAGTAGTCTATACGCTGTAGTCTATATCCGTAGGAGAAAAAACAGGCCGGAATTGACCACTGCTCTCTACGCGTTGTTTTGGCGGGGGTGTACATACCATTCCGCAACGGTCAGTTCCGGCCTGTTTGTTCTCCTACGAATAGCCACCCTACACAAAATGCAAAACACAAATAAATTCATTTTCATTTTGCAATTAATTAATCAATCAATCAATCAATCACTCTTTACTCCCCCCCTCCCTCTCTCCTTCCTTCCTCTCTCCTTCCTTCTTTCCTGTCTATCTATCTATCTATCTATCCCCCATCCCCACCCATCCTATTCCCTCCCATCACTTCCTCCCAAAACTCCATCTCCTCACCCAAGCCACTCACCCACGCACCCACCAACCAAAAACCCCTCCCCCTCCCCCTCCCCCCAAAAAAAACCAAAAAAAACACAAAAAACTGGAGATGCCCGGGATCGAACCGGGGACCTTTCACAAACACACACAATATAAGCCAACTCACAATACATCACAGCAAGAAAACCATGAGGACACGAGAAGAAAATGCGAAGCGAACATAATACCACTATACTACATCCCCTGATGTATATTATATTGTTGGAGTGGTGGTGGGGGTTTGGAGGCATATATATCATGTGTGTGATGTGCGTGATGTGATATATTTGATGGGGTGAGGTGGGACTTGGTGGGACTTGGTGGAATTTGGATGGGGAGGTGGGTATGATGAATATGATGAATATGTTGGTAAGTACCTCCATACATGGATGGATAAGACTCAGAATATTTATGGAAGAAAAAAAGATAAATATAAACGTTAAATGCATTGCGATTTGTAATTGGCTAAGCCATAGGACTGCTATGCTATGCTACGCTATGTATGTAAGTATGTGTGAAAAAAATCTCGCTCATGACACATTTCATCTCATCCCATCCCTTCATATCCCTCCTAACCTAAACTATCCAATATCCTCATCCCCATTTGATCATAAAATATGGAATGCTCGTTACCATGTGTAAGCTTCCACATGCATCATTTTCCTATACTCATCCCAAATCCCCTTCCGTACTCTCCATTGTTTCTCCACCCGCACACCTCAATTGTTGATAACCGGAAATCCCCTCCAAAAAAAAAAAATGAAATCAATCCATGAAAAGCACACCAGAGTAGGAACATTCTCAATACCCAAGATTATCAGCACCCCCAACATTTCCCAACCAACCCCTCACCCCATAATTAAAGTAAAAGAGACCATTGAAAATTTCCTTTTATTTATGCCCAAAGAAATCCCGTTGCCTTTCCCCAACCCTCTCTCCTCCTAACCATTGCCAGGAATAGAGATAGAAAAATTTAAAAGTATCCTCTCATAGCATCCTCAAATCCCGTTCCTCCTTTCAAGTCCCTATCGAAAGCATTCGAGACATCCAAGACGCGTTTGATATGTTCCATCGAAAGAGGTTCTTTATTATTGACAGCGAGAGCTTGAGCTGTACGGACTGTATTTTTGATCTAGAAAGTTGTTAGTTATATTCTCGACCCAAGTTTTGAAAAAGGTGATGGAAAGAAACGTAAAAAATGATAAACATACCTGTCGTCCATTCAAATTATTCCTTGCCAACGCATTATAATCTTCCTCCGTGAAAGGCATTGTATCAATACCTTCCAAGACCCTAACTCTTTCAATAAACATCTTGAAAACACTCTTCTTTGCTTTCGGACTCAAATCACCATATCTTAATGCGATGTGAATTCTCGATTGAAATGCATCATCAAATGTTTCAACACGATTTGTAGTCAAGAAAAGAATACCTTGGAAATATTCCAAAAGTCTCAAGAAGATTGAAACCAAAGCATTACGGTGAATATCTTGAATGGTTCTCTTTTCCAAGAAAACATCAGCTTCATCAAGAAGAAGAACTGCACCCCATGCATGAGCAATGTCGAGAATTTTCTGAAGTTCTGCTTCCAAAGTACGTGGATCGGTACCGAGTTCTCCGGCTGAAACCATATAGAGAGGACATTTGAGGAGTTCCGAGATACCTTCTGCGGTGAGAGTTTTACCTGTGCCAGGTGGACCATGAAGAACGGCTACAAGTCCTTTACCTTTACCTTGAATCACATCGTCGATACTTTCGGCTGGGTGGTATTTGTGGGATTCGACCAAAGCTTTGACAATGGCTTTGGTGTTGTCTTCCAAGACAAGGGAATCATAAGCACCTTCGTTCCAAACAATATCTTTGATTCCTGAAACTGTGAATTCGAGCCAAAGCTTTTCAGCAAAGGCAAATCCGAGAACAACAGGAGAAGAAATTAAGTATTCCTCATCTGTAAAGACGGGAGGAGCTTTCTTGTCTTCTTCTACCTGTCCTTTTTCATCCTTGTTATCTTTGTTGTCCTTGTCGTCCTTGTCGACAACTGTACTTGGAACTTCATCCAGTTTTTCAACAACGACTTCATTGCCGTCCTCATCGACAGGAACCTGAACTAGACGAGGCCTCTCCTTTTCATCAAGAACAACCTTGAGCTTCGTTTTTGGTTCATCACTATCATCTCTCTTCTCTAGAGCATGATCTCCTTGATCATCAGCAGAACTTTCATCATCGCAGCAGCCACAGTCGTCGTCCTCACTATCTGAATCGCCGAGAAGATCCGGGTCATTAGGTTTGACGGTGCTGACGTTGTAATTGGGTAAAATTCGACGATGAATGGCGGGATCGACCATAACTCTACCATCAATATTTACTTTGATAATAGCCTTACGCTTTTTGTAATATGCCATTCCCTTGTGACTTTTATAATGAACACCTTGTAGTGCCACAAACTTCTTACCTCTCTCGATAAGTTCGGTACGAAGTTTGGCTTCATTCTTGTGATATTTCAAAGGATAGCAATTAAGACTTGTGATCTTTCTTGCACCCTTGAAAGCCGGAACATCACAATCCATGGTACCTATAATGATGTTAGTAGACTGATTTTGTGAAACATAAGATGTAACATACCCATTCCCCACGTCTTTCCATCATACTCCAAATATTTACCCTCAATATTATACCAAGTTCCCCTCATGAAA